AAGAAAAGACTTTTGTTAAAGGTATGAAGAGAGAGGAATTTCAGGCAAATTTGATAGGAGTCGCTTAGGGTACCTTAGACTATATTTTCCCCTGCAGGTCAGCATGTGACTCAGGGATTAAAACGATGTGTGTAACAAACTCAACCATTTAAAAAATATCGGCACTGCAATTTGAAATTATTCTCCAAAGTAGAAACTGCACTTGGAATTTATTATGAAATAATACTTCTCTAAATGTGCTTCTAACTGGATTTTTGAAGTCTCTAGCTGTTTGGGGCCTTCATAAAAAGAAGTTATCTGATTACTTGAACGTGGCATCATCCATTATCAATTCTAATTTTTCTGGCAAAGCTATTTTAAAACGGTTTAGATCTTATTTTCCTCCTAGGATCTTAGGGCTCGGGATTCTAAGGGATACAAAACATTATGAAGTTAATTTTTCTTGTCTGGCAAGTTATAATCCAATAATTATAGATGAGAGAAAATAGCAAAAAAGCGTGTTCGCAGTCTACGTGATAAATAACATTAAAATATTTTATATCAATTCAGATAACTTCGTTTATTCATTAAATGGTAACATTAAACATCAGTCTAGTTTATGTTTCAGGCAATTTGCCGAGAATTACTGTAGACACAAAGACTGTTAATGCCATAAATATAATAGACATTTTGAAAAATGCTTTCAAATTAACAAGGTATACTGAGCAATGCTTCTTTCCGAGGTTCTTGACCAAAAAAAATCTGTGGTGAATTCACAGGTGGATACTATTCTCAAGACAGTTATATTTTAATTGGTTATGAGTCTCTCTGTTAGTCTGGCAGACAGAACTTAAGACGGCCCCCAATGATGCTTGCCTCCTGCTAGCCATGGCTTTGTATCTTCCCCTCTTAGTGTGGGTGGGACCTATGATTTGCCTCTAGCCAACAGAATACAGCAAAGGTGATGGGATGTCACTTCCATGATTATGTTACATAGATTGTAACCTACATCTTGCCAAAGGACTCTCTTTTGCTAGTTTTTAAAAAAATACATTTTAATGGATTTCAGAGAGAAAAAGGGAGAGGGAGAGAGAGAGAGAGAAACATCCATGATGAGAGAGAATCATGGATCGGCTGCCTCCTGCACTCCCCCTACTGGGAATCGAGCCCACAACCCAGGCATGTGCCCTGACCAGGAATCATGCTGTGACCTCCTGGTCCATAGGTCAACGCTCAATCACTGAGCAACACCGGCTGGGACCAAACTCTGGGTTTTAAGACCTCCTTTGAAAGTCCTGCAGCACCCTGCTTTGGCGCGTAGGGGTGATTGGCATGTATTGGCATGTATTGGCATGAGGCCTCAGCTGAATGGATGCCCCATCTTAGCATCCTGGAACATGTGGATACATATGGCTCCCATCTTTGTTCCCCCTAGAATTGGGTTAGGCATCCTAAGGGGCCCAAAGTGCTGTGGAATATCTTCTTCTTGTCTGGCAGGTGATAATTAGCCACTTAGAGATGAGAAAACAAGCAACAGCCCATTCCCAGAATTGATAGATATGACACTGCGATGTGTGACATCTATGATTCTATTTCTAACAGAATGGTGATCAACAAGCCCTCGGTAATGGTGGGAACCAGGACTGCTCAGGGGACCACCCGCATCTGTGCCCTTTCCTCTTACTCAGCCATGAATGTGGCTCTTTGGCTGTGTCTCCTAGTTCTGATTCTGGAGAAAGGGAATCTGATTGGCTTATTCCAACACTGGGCTCCCATCAGCTGTGACCAAAGAGTGAGGTCCGGGGGCCCATTGCCTGCTGCCGCGGGTTCTGGGAGCAGACTGGGGCGGAAGAGGCCAGGCAGGATGGCCAGGCTGCCACACTCACGAATTCTTCAGTCAATGGAGCTCTCTCCCATTTCTCATCTGCTGGATGTTGTGTTGGTTTCTGCATGTTCTTCATTATTAATATGTGTTTTTATTGATTTTTTTAGAGAGGAAGAGAGAAGGCTAGAGAGATAGAAACATCGAGGAGGGAGAGGAATATCATCCATCGGCTGCTTCCTGTATGCCCCCTACTGGGGGTTGGGCCCTTATCCGGGGCATGTGTCCTGACCCGGAATTGAATGTGAGACCTCTTGGTTCCTGGGTCAGCACTCAACCACTGAGCCACACCCGCATATTTCTGCTTATTCATTTCTCTGTTGGAGAGAGCTGCATGGGCAGCAGTGGGAGCCCAGGGACTGTGTGGAATCAAGCAAAGCAGAGGTAGTTCAGTGCAGTGGGCCAGGCCCAAAGCGTTGGGAGGTTGTTCTCCATTGTCTTGGTGAGCAAATTAGGGATCATTTTAGAGATCTCCAAGGGCCGCTTCCCCTTAAACCAGGGGTCCTCAAACTTTTTAAACAGGGGGCCAGTTCACTGTCCCTCAGACCGTTGGAGGGCCGGACTATAGTTTAAAAAAAAAACTATGAACAAATTTCTATGCACACTGCACATATCTTATTTTGAAGCAAAGAAACAAAACGGGAACAAATACAATATTTGTATTTGCATGTGGCCCGCGGGCTGGAGTTTGAGGACCTCTGCCTTAAACAGTTTGGAAGTTTGCTGACATAGACCCCACCCCCCACCCCCAATTTCATCTTACTTCAAGTTCTGATTTTTTTTAAATCACAGCTACAAAGAGTTGAATTCATCAAAGTCATCAATTCACGGCATAAATGATTATCATCACAGACCGTGCAAGGCCCGTCTCTGGTTTTATTTATTTATGCTCACACCCACTCTTATCTCCCCCAAGAGAAAACCATTCTAATATGTGTAGTGTGCATCCTGTCATTTTTTATTGGCTTATTGCAAATATATTGTTGCTGTTTTGTGGGTGTATTTTGAGCCTGTGAAAATGGTGTTATATGTCATACTGTCTCGTGCAGATGCGCGTGCTGACATGCTCACCCATAATGCGTGATCATGCATCTTACCCACTGAATTCTCCTTCGCTGACACGGGGGCCCTGGTACCCCATCGAGTGGGAATTCTGGCTGGCTGCTCCATTTCCTGGGGTTCGCGGCCAGTGCTTGGCAGCTGGGAACTCGTGGGAGCAGATGGGCCACTCAGAGGCCTGCCTGCAATCATCCCAAGTGTGGTCGTTGTTTCTCCAGTTCTTGGAGGTTTTTTAAAAATATCTCATTGATTTCAGAGAGGAAGGGAGAGGGAGAGATAGAAACACCAATGATGATGAGAGAAAATCACTGACTGATTGGCTGCCTCCTGCACCCCCCTACCCCCCACCCCCACTGGGGATCAAGCCCGAAACCCGGGCATGTGCCCTTGACCAGAATCTAACCTTGGACCCTTCAGTCCACAGGCCAATGCTCTAGCCACTGATCCAAACAGGCTAGGGTGAATCCTTTGAGTTTTAGCCCTGCTCTTTCTGGTCTGCTGATTTCTCCCCCTCTCTTCTCCCCAGTCCCTCCCTCAGGGCTCACCCCACCCCACCCCCGACCCCACAGCTGCTGTGGAGTCAGTGGAACATGCTCCAACCCAGCCAGCCGGTGAGCGGGTCAAACCACAGGGCAGCTGGCGCGGGAGATGCAATTTGCAGCGGCTTCTCCGCGGGAACAGGCCGGCAGCAGACGCCCTCTGCTCGATTTGCTGGGGAAATAAATCCCAACGCAGGGAATTAATTACCGCCTGAAGTCGGGAGAGTCAGCTGATCCTCAGCAAAGTGGCAGCTGACCTTTCTCCCACTCGTGATAAAGAAGGATCAAAGGGAGGAAGGCAGAGAAACCGTCAGAGCCCATAATGTGATTTCCCCCCAGGGGTTGAGATCTTTGAAAGGTTCGGGTTACTTGGGGGAAATGAAATAAACCGTTATATTACACCGTTCTGCCTTTAGCCACCAAGGGTTCCCTACTGTGAAAATAGTTCCCAGCGAGGGCCTGTCTGAAATATGAATCTCCCAAGGTTGTAGGTGTCCCTACCGCGGGCCCAGTAAGCCACAGTATGGGAAGTCATGTTTCCTGGGATGCTGCTTTTATTTTATTTTATTCATTTACTTATTGTTGTTGTTGTTGTTAATCCTCACCCGAGGATATTTTTCCATTGATTTTTAGGGAGAGGGAGAGACAGAGAAACATTGATGTGAGAGAAACACATCGATTGGTTGCCTCCTGCACACGCCCCCACCAGGGCACTGGGCTGGGGAGGAGCCTGCAACCAAGGTGCATGCCCTTGACCAGAATCGAACCCTGGACCCTTTGGTCCGCAGGCTGACGCTCTATCCACTGAGCCAACCGGCTAGGGCTGGCGTACTGCTTTTACATAAAAACCTACAGTGCCACTTTCTTCCATGATGCTGATCCTGGGAAACTAACGGTGTTCAATGAGTGGATAGGATTTTTTATAACTGTGTTTGTATTGATTTCAGAGAGGAAGGGAGAGGGAGAGAGAAATTGAAACATCAATGATGAGAGAGAATCATTCATTGGCTGCTTCCTGCACACCCCCTACTGGGGATCAAGCCTGCAACCAAGGTACGTGCCCTTGACTGGAATTGAACCCAGGACCCTTCAGTCTGCAGGCCGATGCTCTATCCACTGAGCCAAACCAACGAGGGCAATGGATAGAATTTTAAAAATCTGTCCCCTTTACAGAAAACTTCACAGAAATTTTTAAGCAGCAAAGGAAAACCTGCAGAGGAAAATCAATTTTAAGAGCAGAGAAAAGTATAAAAAGACTGAGTTGATGCTTCTAAAACCAATCTTCCCTCCACGGATCTGGTTTTAAGACCCTGCCGTTTGGCATTGCAGATGGTATCACCCAGCGTAGACCGCGTGGGAAGCTTACAACTGGGTGGACACTTGGTTCTGGATTTCCCTCCGGTCTGCAAGCCCGCTTCCGAGCTGTTGGATTCTTTGCCCTTTGAGTCCAAGTGACATTCGCCACCGCATCACACATTTCATTCCCAAAGAGCCCTGTCCCCGTGCCTTTCATAAATGTGTTTTTTTTCTCTCTTTTACAGAAGCTGCAAAGAATCGATACTGCTGACTGTCATCCAGCCTTACCCTGTAAGTGTCCTGCGAGTAACAGTGCCCTCGCCTGGTCTCAGGCTCCTGTGTGCCCCTCCCTCCAGTAAAACCACGATGAGAAATGACAGCAGAGAAAAAATAGCGTGCATCCGCGGCACCAGTCACGAATCGGGAGTGTTTGTATGTTGTACTTCACGATAGCAACGCTAGTCATTGGAGAGAAAAGAAAGTAGCGCCTTTTCTAAATACTGTATCTTACAAATCGGCTGTCCAGTCCTATGAGACGCTCAGATCTGGAAATGGCACAAAACTCAAGACTTTCTTGAAGTTTCCAGCTTAAGTATCACAAGTCTCATGCGAATATCTCATAGTAGGGGGTTGAAGCATGATCATTTTTCTTTTCTTTTTTTAAAATATATTTTTATTGATTTTAGAGAGAAGGGAGAGGGGGAGAGAGAGAAACATCAATGATGAGAGAGAAACATCGATCAGCTGCCTCCTGCACACCCCCTACTGGGGATGTGCCCGCAACCAAGGTACATGCCCTTGACCGGAATCGAACCTGGGACCCTTCAGTCCGCAGGCCGACGCTCTGTCCACTGAGCCAAACTGGCTAGGGCAGTGGTCGGCAAACTGCGGCTCACGAGCCACATGTGGCTCTTTGGCCCCTTGAGTGTGGCTCTTCCACAAAATACCGACTTCTGCGCATGGGCCACGAGGTTTCCATCGCTCTGTCTGTGCGCGCCCGCACGTGGTATTTTGTGGAAGAGCCACACTCAAGGGGCCAAAGAGCCGCATGTGGCTCACGAGCCACAGTTTGCCGACCACAGGGCTAGGGCCATGATCGTTTTTCTTACCCCCACCTAGATAATTTGGTAGAGAACTCTAGATAGTTCTGTGAGACCCGCTTTAAAAGGTGGGTATTAGAGGTCATAGGGCCACCAAAATTTCATTCCGCAGCCTTCGTCAGGGGGGTGGGGAGTTATTAAAATCGTGCTGCCTTCAGTTCCCATGATTTTGTTATTGTTGTTACTCCTCACCCGAGGATATTTCTCCACTGATTTTTAGAGAGAGTGGAAGGGAGGAGGAGAGACAGAGAGAAACATCGATGTGAGAGAGATACATCGATTGGTTGCCTCCCACACAAGCCCCTACCAGGACCAGGGATCAAGCCCACAACCACAACCGAGGTATGTGCCCTTGACCAGAATCTAACCGATGAGACTTCAGTCTGAGGGCCGAGGCTCTATCCACTGAGCCACACAGGCTAGGGCCCATGATTTTCTTTTAAACAACTTTATCATGGTGTAATTCACATATCATAAAAGTCACCCCTTTTAAATGTACAATTCAAGGGTCTTTATGGAATTTACCGAAGTACGCGGCCTTCATCACAATCCAGCTGGAAAACATTCCTTTCACCCCAATGCGATCCCCCTTCCCATTTGCAGTGAAACCCTTCCCTCCCTCAATCCCAGGCCGCTGCTGATTTACTTTCTGCTTCTATAGAGTTGCCTTCGCTTGTGACTTTCGCACGTTGTCAGTGGAACTATAAAATGCTGAGGCAAATTCCTTCAGAGATTTCTCAAAACGTTTCCTGTCCGTACCTGTGTGTCCGCAGGGAGGAGCAGCGATTCCCACCTGGTTACACTTCTGTTTTCTTCCCCATAGAGCTAGAGTGTTCCTACATCAGTGAAAAGGCTCTGGTATCTGCCAGTCTCTACCTTATGACCAAACTCTTCATCTCCTCACCCCAGAATGTTCCTCCTAAGTCAGTGGTTCTCAACCTGCTGGCCCTTTAAATACAGTTCCTCGTGTTGTGACCCAACCATAAAATGATTTTCGTTGCTACTTCATAACTGTCATGTTGCTACTGTTATGAATCGTCATGTAAATATCTGATCTGCAGGATGGTCTTAGGCGACCCCTGTGAAAGGGTCGTTCAACCGCCAAAGGGGTCGCGACCCACAGGTTGAGAACCGCTGGACTAAAAGAAGACAATATTGAAATAGAAAGAAAGTTTGCCCTTACTGATCTAGTCTGAAGTGGCTCTTTTGAGTTGTAGGAGTGGAAATAATGTTAATTAAATAGATACATTACATGTAGAGAGGAGAGCAGATGAGAGAAGACATTTCAACATTTTACTTATATGTTTGGGTTCAGATTTTTCTATAAGCAAATTGGTGGGGGGGGGTTTATCTCAGTTGAGTTTTATTTCTTCCCAAACATTCTCTTGGCAATCAGGATTGACATACAGAAACAGATGACCCAGCAGACCAAAAGAACGCCCATAAATGGGATTTTATTACAGACAATAAAAATTAGCATTTTTATTTCCTTGTAATTTGCTGGCCCGCATTTTTAATGTTGTGTTTCCTCTGCCTAATGAGGTCCAGTCTAGACAGCGAGCCGATGTTCACAACTGAGCTCAGGGCACCCCAACATCCAGTCACAGAAATCAGTCTCCAGGGGGGCCCAGGTCAGGGGGGCCTGGACGAAGATCGTAGGGTCCCCACAATTCTGTGAGAAGAAATCATTCTTAACAGGTTGCTGCCTTATATTTTAAATAATATGGAGGGCGCTCTGTCCACCATTTTTACTTTATTTCTTAGAGAAAAAAATTGTGCCAGTATAGAAGGAAACACAGAAGTAGACAAGTATGTGTTGGCGAACCTTTCCCCTAGCGACAACCAATAGGAACATTCTGGCTCTTTTCCTTGCAGTCTGTTTGTTCTATGCCTTGTCAACAATTGAGATCATATTGTATGTACAATTTTATTCTGCTTCTTTCACTTCGTATATCCAGCATTTTACCGTATCATCAAGAATTCTGCATAAGCGTCATATACATGCCTATAAAACTTATGTTGATTTACTTAACCAACTCCGTATCATAGAACCCTTCATAATGCCTTTAATGTTTTGCTATTATAAATAATTCTGCAAAGAACATCTTTGTGTATAAATCCTACTGGTATTTACTAGTAGTAGTATCTATGTATTTAGTATTATTGTTATCCAAATCTAATAGTATTTCCTCATTATGGAATTTTAGAAGGAGAATTTCTGCATTACTTGTGAGTTTTATTTGTTTGGTTCTGATGTGCTGTCTTCTTTCCTTGTATGTGACTATTTTTAAAAATATATATAATTTTATTGATTTCAGAGAAGAAGGGAGAGGGAGAGAGAGATAGAAACATCAATGATGAGAGAGAATCATTGATTGGCTTCCTCCTGCACGCCCCCCACTGGGGATCAAGCCCACAACCCAGGCATGTGCCCCCTACCGGAATCGAACCTGGGACCCTTCAGTCCGCAGGCTGGCGCTGTATCCACTGAGCCAAACCAACTAGGGCTGTGACTGTTTTTTTTATTACAGATCTTTCTTGGCCAGCTTCTTTCTTCTTTTCTTTCTTCAGTTCCCAAGTCTAGAACTTCCCATTTCAGCCCTAGCTGGTATGGCTCAGTGGATAGTGTCAGCCTGTGGACTGAAGAGTGCTGGGTTCGATTTCGGGCAAGGGCACATGCCCAGGTTTCGGGCTTGATTCCCAGTATGTGGCGTGCAGGAGGCAGCCATCCAATGATTCACTCTCATCATTGATGTTCCTCTCTCTCTCTCTCCCTCTCCCTTCCTCTCTGACAGCAATAAAAATATATTTAAAACAAACCAAAACATGTAGAACTTCCCAGTTCAACCTTACCTGAAACAAGGAGTATTTAAAGAGTCTCGCCCCAGCCAGTTGCTCAGTGGTTATAGCATTGGCCCGTGGACCAAAGGGACATGGATTTGATTCCTGGTCAATGTCCTACCTTGTTTGCAGATCTGATCCCTAGTTGTGGGATATGTGGGAAGCAACCAACTGATGTCTCTCTCTCTCTCTCTCTCTCTCTTTCTCTCTCTCTATCTCTATCTCTCTCTCTCTCTCTCTCTCTCTATCTATCTATCTATCTATCTCTATCTCTCTCTTGCTCCCTACCTTGGTTACAGGTCTGATCCCCAGCTCTAGTAGTGACACATGTGGGAAGCAACCAATCAATGTGACTCACATCGATGTTTCTCTCTCTCCCTCTCTCTTCCTCTCTCCTTCACTTCCCCTCTCTCTAAAAAAATTCAATCAGGTTTCTTTGAGGGACCCACTTGCCTGCCTCTCACTTCCTGCCTACCTTCCAGCATGTTCCACACACCCGAGGGAGGCTCCAGACCTCCTCATGGAAGCCCCAGTAGCAGACGCTATTAGAACTGGAACCAGGTTCACTTGGCATGTGTCATATCAAGCATGTCAACCCACTTTCCAACTGAGACAACCAGTGATTCCTTGCCTGTGGGCTTCTGGCCGTAGGAGCATGCTCATGGAGCACACCGGAAGTGCCGGAAGTGCGGAGGTATTACTCCTCCCAGAGGAACAGCAGCTGGTGGATAAAGGCCCCAGCTTCCCCTCTTCCTCAGTCAGTATAACTCTCAGGCCTGTGGTCTGCCTTGGTTCCCACAGTGATCCAGTTGCTTTCAGGGGGTGCCTGCCTTCACAGTGAATGCTTTATGGGTTACCCCCCTTCCCTGCCTCCCTTCCCCCACTTTCCTACCTGTGCTTCCTGGGAGCGCCTCCCAACTCAGCTGCCTGCCTGTGAATCCTTGTCTTAGGGTCTGCTTTAGGCGGGGACTCCAAACTAGTATGTCATCAACAGGCATTTTCCCAGCGCCTACTGTCTGAGTAGTACTGTAAAGCTACGGGGATTACAAGTTCAAGGCCTTACACTTCAGTTTCAGGAATTAATCTTATTGATGTCATTTGTTTCCAGCTCTGTTCTAGTGACTTCTGAGAGCATCTAACGCATCAGGAGCATGCGGCACACTTATCTTGGCCACCTTAGCAATAGCTGATTTGGAAAGGGGTGAAGGGTTAATTAGAGGCCTTCTAATCTCAAAATTAATTAACAGCGGGAGAATCTGATTATTCTAAATAGTAATTACTTATCATTTCCACCACAGGCCATGAAGTGCTTATGATCAGGTGTGCAGGTTGCTAGGAATTAATCCACCAGGTTTTGGAGTGGTGCACATTGTATATTTTTTGAGCGGCAGAGAGAGATCTGAGTTAAAACTGCAGTTTCACCCTAACCAGTTTGGCTCAGTGGAGAGAGCATCGGCCCTCGGACTGAAGAGCCCCGGGTTCGATTCTGGTCAAGGCTACCTACCTCGGTTGCAGGCTCGATCCCGGCTCTGGTCAGGGCACATGTGGGAAGCAACCAATTGATATGTCTCTCTCACTTCGATGTTTCTCTCTCTCTGTCTCTCCCCGTCTCTTCCACTCTCTCTAAAATTCAATGGGAAAATATCCTCAGGTGAGGATTAGCATAAAAAAATAAAAAACTACAGAAGTGACTGACTTACATTTCCCATGAACTCCAGCCACTGGAATAAGCCAGTACTTTGTTGATTCTAATTCAATGATCTTCAGACTTGAAGAGCTTATGGTTTTATGATCTGAATGTAATTTTTAAAAATATTTTATTGATTTTTTACAGAAAGGAAGGGAGAGAGATAGAGAGTTAGAAACATCAATGAGAGAGAAACATCGATCAGCTGCCTCCTGCACCCCACCCACTGGGGATGTGCCCGCAGCCAAGGTACATGCCCTTGACTGGAATCGAACCTGGGTCCCTTCAGTCCGCAGACCGACACTCTATCCACTGAGCCAAACCAGTTAGGGCCTGAATGTAATTTTTAAAATGTATGTTGATGATATAAAATACGACTCCAGGATAAAAAAAAAAAAAAGCACTCCTATGGATTCTTAGTTAGACTTGATATGTATAACATGATATTTGCTTAACTACCTTGGCTACCTGGTGTGCTTTCTGGTTTTCCTAGATTACCAGGTTTGTTGTTAGTGCCTGGTAAATAGATATGGGAATGAGGCTCCAAGCAGTGGGCATGCTCTAGCAACAGGGAGAAGAGAGAAGCAGCCCATCTTTCTTTATTTAAAATATATTTTTATTGATTTCAGAGAGGAGGGGAGAGGGAGAGAGAGATAGAAACATCAGTGATGAAAGACAATCATGGATCAGCTGCCTCCTGCCGCCCCCTACTGGGGATCGAGCCCACAACCTAGGCATGTGCCCTGACCAGGAATAGAACTGTGACCTCCTGGTTCATAGGTCGACATGCAACCACTGAGCCACACCAGCCATGTAAAGCATCTCATCTTGACAAGTTCTGCTAAACAGGGCCACTTACCTTAGGGGCAAATAACCCTATATACTCCCATGGGGACATCACTGCATTCCAAGATCACACAGCAAATGATATGCATCAGAAATTACGTTCTGTTAAATATGCTTTTTTATCGAGGCAAGGAATTATGTAGAACTTTTTAGAAAAGTATGGTAAAATACTACATTTAAAAATTCAGATGCGCCCTAATTGGTTTGGCTTAGTAGATAGACCGTCAGCCTGCGGACTGAAAGGTCCCAGGTTCGATTCCGGTCAAGGGCATGTACCTTGGTTGCGGGCACATCCCCAGTAGGGGGTGTGCAGGAGGCAGCTGATTGATGTTTCTCTCTCATCGATGTTTCTAACTCTCTATCCATCTCCCTTCCTCTCTGTAAAAAATCAATAAAATATATATTAAAAAAAATTCAGATGCATAGAAGACTAAACCTCACATGTATGAAACCCCTCATTCCCGAATAATGCCAGAGAAGGGGGTGTTCCGCCTTCTGACATCTCGCCTCATTAGGCAGGTCTGCGTAGTGTAGCTTTATTATAACCGCTTCACTTGTGCTCAGTTCATTGTGCCGGTGTAAATACCGCCTGCTTCACATCATCGCGGGAGAATCATGTTTTCCCTTCAGCTAAAAAATTGCACATCAAAAGCGAATGAACTCACTGCTGTCTGATTTGTTCGTTAATCATCACTGAACTTGGCCTCTAATTGCCAAGATACTGATGAGAACACCGCTGTCATCCCTCCAGCTCTGCGGGAGGACTTGCCAAGTCACTCTGAGCGTGTTCAAAGCGCTTCTTTTTGAACAGCAGCCATTTGGAGTTGTTTTGTGGTATTTTGTGAGTGTGTGTTTGTAAGGGCAGCCATTCTCTTAAAATATATCGCCTTGGTGGCGGAATTAAAGCTCTGGGGGTCAAACCATCCATCCATTCAGTCCTCTGACATTTCTCGGAGCAAAGCATTGGATGGGTATGGAGGGGAACTTTCACAATAACAGGTTTCCCCAGTATTAAAGCAACACTCCACCCAGGAGTATACCCACACATGTTTTGTTTGTTTGTTTGTTTGTTTTTTAAATTATTATTATTTTAAAAGAATTCTTTATTGTTGAAAGTATTATATATACCCCCTTGTTCCCCCATTGACCCCCTCCAGCCCACCCTACCCCGCCCCCTGCCCCAGGCCTTCACCACCCTATTCCCACCCTCCCACCCTCCCCACCTTCCCTCTGAGATTCCACACTCTGTTCCATGCTTCCATGTCTCTGGATCCACTCTGATCATCAGTTTATTTTGTTCATAAGATTCCACATATGAGTGAGATTATGTAATACCTGTCTTTCTCTGACTGACTTATTTCACTTAGCATACCCACATGTTTTATTGTGTTTTTAACAGTGATTTTTTTATTGTAGTGTTTTGTATTATTATAGTAAAAATATTTTATTATTTATTATATATATATATATATATATATATATATATATATATACACACACACACACACACACTAGAGGCCTGGTGCACAAAATCTGTGCATGGGTAGGGTCCCTAGGCCTCCTGGCGATCAGGGCCAATCGGGCCTTCCGGCTGCTGGCCAGAGCCTTCCTTACTTTCACGCCACCCCCTGGTGGTCAGTGCACATCATAGCAAGCAATCAAACTCCCGGTTGAACTCCTGAGGGGACACTGCATATTAGCCTTTTATATATATAGATAACATAAATCTACCATTTTAAGCATGTTAAAGGATACAATTTTGTGATATTAAGTACATTCGAAATCTTGTGCAACCATTGCCACTATCCAGCTCCAGAACATTTGTCACCTTGTACTCACTGAGCAGTCACTCCCATTCTCCCCTGCCCTTGCCTCTGGCAGCCATTAATCTACTTCCTTCTCTAGGGATTTGCCTCATCTGGGTGTTTCATACAAATGGAATCAAATCATGCAATGGGTGGGCCTTTGTGCCTGGTTTCTGTCACGTAACATAATGTGTTTGAGGTCCATCCATGTTGTAGCATGTGTCTGAGCTTCATTCCTTTTTATGACTGAATACAGTTTCATTGTATGACTAGACCACTTATTTGTATAGGGCACCCTAATTGGCTTTTGTGCCTTGAGATTAATGCAATACACAGAAGGTTGAGCCTCTGTGTTCATTCTAGAGTCAATTACAATATATATATATTTGATTTCAGAGAGGGAGAAAGAGATAGAAACATCAATGATGAGAGAGAATCATGGGTCGGCTGCCTCCTGCAAGCTCCACGTTGGGGATTGAGCCCGCAACCCCAGCATGTGCTCTGACAGAATCAAACCATGATCTCCTGGTTCATAGGTCGATGTTCAACCACTGAGCCATGCCAGCCAGGCAATTTCTAGAATTCTTTACACAACATCTTCAATCTCTTAGGACTACGTAGTATAAAAATCATTACATTGAACCATATGCAATTTCCAATATTTGACCATTTTAATCTATAAAATAACAATTGTGTGATTCAAACTAAATATTTACCTCCATGTTAGGTTCAATAGAAAATGCAATTTTTTTTGCATTGTTATGATTCTTTTTTTTATTGTTTTATTGCTTAAAGTATTACAAAGTGTATTACATATGTGTCCCTTTTTTTCCCCCGCCCTTGACAATCCCTTGGCCTCCCCTACCCCCCAGTGTCTTATGTCCATTGGTTATGCTTATATGCATGCATACAAGTCCTTCGGTTGATCTCTTACCCCCCTCCCTCCTGCTCACCAACCCTTGCAATTTTTTTTAAAAATAAAAAAATACGCCCAGCCCTAGCAAGTTTGGCTCAGTGGATAGAGCGTCAGCCTGTAGACCGAAGGGTCCTGAGTTCGATTCCGGTCAAGGGCATGTACCTTGGTTACAGGCTTCTCCCAGCCTGGGCCCTGGTCAGGGCATTTGCAGGAGGCAACAGTACATGTGTTTCTCTCACATGGATGTTTCCCTCTGTCTTTTCCTCTCTCTCCCACTCTCCCTAAGAATCAATGAAAATGTATCCTCACGTGAGGATTAAAAAAACCCAAAAGGTGCCCTAGCCGGCTTGGCTCAGTGGATAGAGCGTTGGCCTGCTGACCAGAGTTCCTGGGTTGGATTCTGGTCAGGGCACAGGCCCGGGTTGCGGGCTCGATCCCCAGTAGGGGGTGTGCAGGAGGCAGCCGATCCATGATTCTCTCCCATCACTGATGTTTCTCTTCTCCTTCTCCCTTCCTCTCTGAGATCAATTAAAAAATATATTTTTTAAAAAAGATAGAAACCAACTGTTAAAAGTTCTGTATTATGTCATCAGTAACCGGATGAAATGTTTTCTGGTTTTCAGTCTCCCAAGTCAGCGTTCATTAGCGCCGCAAAGAAGGCCCGGTTAAAGTCCAACCCCGTGAAAGTGCGCTTCTCCGAGGAGGTGATCATCAACGGGCAGGTGTCGGTGAGTGCAGAGTCGCCTGCTTGTGACTGGAGCGAGTCACTGAGGCACTAAGCAAGGCCAGCACCCACTGGAAAGATGGGCCTGTCACTGGTTGCTGGATTTCACAGGGGCGTCAAATCTCAGGGTCACCCGGTGGTGTCTGATAGGTCCCGTCCCCCCCCCCCCCCCCAGCATTTCCAGGATCCGGAAGAGTCCAGTATTTCCTTGAATGCTTCTGGCGTTAAAGACCTCACTTCTTTGCAAAGGAGTTCATTTGATTGGACGTCACTGGCATCGCCTTTTTTTGAGTAAAATGTGCCCCTTTGAAATTCCACCTGTTTCTTCCTGTTCTGCCAACTCAGCATTCTTCCATGAGAGCCTCTGTGTATCTTGAAATAAGTCTTGCATATTGACTAATATTTTTCCCTTATCCAAAATAAAACGCCCTATTGTTTCAACTAATCACAATGGAAAACAGTTAAAATGATGGAAAACGTTCATATATGCAACCAGGATTTCCATTAATAGCTCTTGATAGAAATCATGATTCCTCAGGCACATCATTGATCTTCTAAATGAATAATGCAAATATTGATAGGATGCTTTATTTTCGATTTTCTCCAAAAAAAAAAAAAAATAGCCTTTTGTTTTCTGTTTTGAGAAAGCTGTCATCTAGGGCACTAATTTCTTAGAACTTTGAAATGCCAGCTTTTTTTGTGGAGAGTTTATTGTTGCTCTTGCTATTATTAGTCAGGGGTGGGGAACATCCGGCCCGCGGGCCATACAAGGCCCGGGAAATCATTGGGTCTGGCCCTGCCAAGGCATTAGAGGTGAGTTCATCAAATGTTTGAGCAAATAGAGCAGGCTCATTTTTCAGTTGATCATTCTGTATGGCCCGCGAATGGTGTTACAAATATCCCAATGGGTCTGGGCAGAAAAAAGGTTCCCCACCCCTGGCAAACTGACACGGGTAAAATCTCCTCCATGTCATGCTTCTTATGGGTCGGGAACTCTCCCCTGAGCGCCGTCCTGAATCTGACTTTGAAGATGTAGCCTGCACGTCCTGGGCCAGGCACGCGTGGACCAAGCATCTCCCAGCTCAGCCAGCCCATCTGTCATACTATTGTGATGCTCGTGGGCAGCGGCATCAGGCTGCCATGGTGCTGCCCTGTGAGCATTTGGCTGTGGCCTTGGCCTCCCGATCGCCCCTCTATCATCTCATTTCCTCTCCCCACTTCACACTGTGGCTTGTGCTGCACGGTTCAGTGGATTCGCGTCCCGCAGGATGGAGAGTTAGCATACATTATCATCTCAGAACAAGCCCATCCCAGCTCAAGGCTGGAAGGTTCCAGTCACAGAGGAATCGCTGTGTCCTGTGACATCCCCTCATCTTTTCTCAAGTTTCCGAGTGGGAGATGGGCCATGCGTTGATGCATCTTTAGAGAGACTATAGCTGGCGGCTGCTGGGCAGTGTCCCTGTGTCCCTGTATAGAACAGGGCTCATTCCAGGCAGCTGGTGTGTGCGGACCCAGCCCGGGGGGCCCATCCTCTGGGCCATTTGGTCACGTGTCTGCTCCTCAGCCTCTGTGACCATCTTCACTCCCCGTCTGCTCTTGCTCTTCTGAGTTATTGTGTGTCATGCCTCCTGGACTTGGAGCCACATGAACTGGGCAGCACAGAAGTCCCGGGTGGAGTAGAAAGGAGAGGAACGGATTTCAGAGAAAGAAGTGGGAAGTGACAAACAGGAGCCTGTCCCTCAAATAGTCCGTTTCCTCATCTGTCCAACAGGGGGCGTGGGGTTGCACAGCTACTGACTTCCCCTCACTCCTGTGACTTCACAGCCAACCACATGTGAGCCACACAGCTCACCCAGGGATTCCTCCTTTTTTAAATATATTTTTATTGATTTCAGAGAGGAAGGGAGAGGGAGAAAGATAGAAACATCCATGATGAGAGAGAATCATGGATCAGCTGCCTCTTGCACGCCCCCCATTGGAGATTGAGCCCGCAACCAGGGCATGTGCCCTTGACCGGGAATCAAGCCGTGACCTCCTGGTTCACAGGTTTGACGCTCCACCACTGAGCCACACCGGTCGGGCACGTTCTTTGAACTATGATCTGTTTGTTATAGACTTAGTGTTCTACTCCATTAACACACTACCCCATTCCTTTGAGTTTGGGGGAAATCTTCCTAAATGAAGTAAAAATTGTTTCACAAAATAACTTCAGCTTTGAAGCTGATCAAGGCTTGAGGTTCACTGTCGTGACCTGCCGGCCACCAGCAGGCGTCGCATCGCACACCATCAGCCCGGGACTCCTTCTGCCCAGACGCGCCGCTCTGCGAAAGCCTGGCCTTGACATACACCCTGTGGCGTAGGTACAGGGGAGCCATTTCTGTAATGGCATTTTCCAGTGGGACACCTCGATTTAAAAATACTCCTCTAGTCCGGCCGGTGTGGCTCAGTGGTTGAGTATCGACCTAGGAACCAGGAGGTCATGGTTCGATTCCCTGTTACGGGCACATGCCCGGGTTGTGGGCTCGATCCCCAGTAGGGGGCGTGCAGGAGGCAGCCGATCCATGATTCTCTCTCTCATCATCAATGTTTCTCCCTCTCCCTTACTCTCTGAAATCAATAAAAATATACCTTTTTTTAAAAAAAAAACTCTGATTGATCTTCTGATGGGAAAAGTTCTTTTCTTTGAATCAGCTGAGGTATTTGTAGGCGGAAAAGGATTTTTCTATGAACAACTGCACTTGGATATCAACAAAGGGACACCTTGGTTGGCCTCAGAGACTTCACTTGGTCTTTGTTTTTATTTATGTTGTGCTTGGATACATTGTAGATATACGCGGCTATTGCAAAGAGCAGAATTATAATCCCACTGACTTTAACCCCTCCCTCTCTTTTGTTCTCAAACAGGAAACTGTTAAGGACAATTCGCTTCTGTTTATGCCAAACGTGTTGAAAGTCTATCTGGAAAACGGGCAGACCAAGTCCTTCCGTTTTGACTCGAGCACCTCCATAAAGGTAAGGGGACCGCTGAGCTCTGCCTGGACCCCCTCGGGCAGCGAGCGGAAGCTGCCCCCGCGTCTCATGGGGCAGCCCTTCTTTGAGAACTACTTGTCTATCGTTGAGAAGCGTTCGGTTGCTTCCCAATAAGGGAGTGTGTGAGGCCTGGCCGGTGTGGCTCAATGGGTAGAGCGTTGGCCTGCGGACTGAAGGCTTCCAGGTTCTATTCAGGTCAAGGGCACGTACTTATCTCAGTTACAGGCTCCTCCCTGGCCCAGGCCCTGGTGGGGGTCATGTGCAGGAAGCATCCAATTGATGTGTGTCTCTCACATCGATGTTCCTCTCTGTCTCTCCCCCTCCCTTCCAGTCTCCCTAAAAATCAATGGAAAAATATCCTCAGGGGAGGATTCAAAACAAAACAAAACAAAACAAATAAGGAAGTGTGTAAATACAAGACGAAAAGCTTAGCCTCAGAAGGTTCCACTGTGTGTGTGTGTGTGTGTGTGTGTGTGTGTGTGTGTGTGTGTACGCAGACTGATAAGCGGTCAGTGCTGAGCCAGGGCAGCCAGTCATTTGAATGCAACCACGAATGAAAGGAGCCCGAATGCACCAGGAAGGCTCGGCGCCCTGCCCAAAGCGAGCGGGGTCTCTCAGCGGCGTGAGCCCCAGGAAGACGAAGCCGTTAGCTGTTCATTGAGTATCTGCTCCTTTGGTGTCCAGCGAAAACAAGGGGTAGCGCGATACAAAGCTAACGGTTACTTTTCCGACTGGAGCTGCTTTCGTGGCAATGATGCATAAAGGGCAGGAATGAGGCCCACGTCTTAGAAGAGGTGGAGAGGAACAGCCATAGAGCAATTCAGTTACGGTAGGGCCCCCCCCCCCCATCCATGGGACATGACTTCAAAGACCCCCGCGGATGCCTGAAACCGCGGATGGCAACGATCTCTATATACACGGTGATTTTTCCCATACACGCATACCTTCCCTGAAAGGAAACGCTTACGGGAGGCTTGTCCGAATGGCCAGCATCAGTGCTCTGTGCCTTGAGGCCATTAGGAAGAAAAACAAAGGCTTGAACGCAAGCCTTGCGATGACAGCGGGCGATCCGATAACCCCTGCTAAGTGACTAACAGGTGGGAGTGTACAGAGCGAGGAGTCACCGGATAAATGGAGGAGTCACTTGCCGGGTGGAATGGAGAACTTACGAATTGTTTATTTCTGGAATTTTCTATTCGATATTTTGGGGCTGCAGTTGACCGCGGATAACTGAAACCTCGGAAAGCGAAACTGCAGATAAGGGGGTGGGGGGGCGCTACTGTATTTCAGAGCCACAGGTGAGTTTGCATAATGGGCATTATTATAAAGCAGCGGTTCTCAGCCTGTGGGTCGCGACCCCTTTGGCGGTCGAATGACCCTTTCACAGGGGTCGCCTAAGACCATCCTGTATATCAGCTATTTACATGACGATTCCTAACAGTAGCAACATGACAGTGATGAAGTAGCAACGAAAATCATTTGATGGTTGGGTCACAACATGAGGAACTGTATTTAAAGGGCCAGAAGGTTGAGAACCACTGTTATAAAGCATAGGGGTTTCCTACCCCCCCCCCCCCCCGCAATGCTTTGTTCCTGGGGGAAAAAATACATATTCTCTTTTTTATTGGAGAAAAGTGTGTTCAGAGATTGATTGTTCCCTCATGCTCCATCAGCTTAAAATAGGCTTTCTTTAAATGCACAGGAAAAAAGATTTTATTGAGGTTAAAAAAAAAGTCCCTAGTGATGATCTTGTGTAACGAGTGTATCAAGCGACTATCAACTGTGTATTGAAAATGTCTATTCATAGTCAACCCCGAATTCTCAGTTTTTAAAATTAATCAGCACAAACCCGAGTGGGAGCATTCCTACCAAGGCCCACTCACTGTGCATTCTTCTTATCGGGATCCCAGCACGCAGCTTGTTTGGAATCGCTTTAAATCGGTAGCGGCTGAGCAGGTAATAGAGCAGACAAGAAGCGTAGATTGATGATCAAGCATTTAAAGCAGGCTTAAGTCATTCCGGATGAAATATGAACTTCCTTCATACCAGGCTGCTAATGTTAAATGCTGATGACGGCAGAAGTCTTTTATTTTATTTTATTCCTACTCCACATCAGTTCACAGCGAGATGTTACTCTAAATATTAGTCAGCTTACCTGGGAGTTGGCAAGCGTTCCCTGGACAGGCCTGGAGAGTAAATAGTGGAGTGTCTGTGGGACATTTGACCTGTTGCCACTCCCCGCCTCTGCTACTGTCTCAAAGAACCCACTCCCAGGTTCAATAATCCACTCGAGGGACCTCCCAGGACTCAGCAAATTGTCACACTCCCAGTTCCAGTTGATTGCAGCCAAAGGGGACGGTGACATCAGCCACAGGAAAGCAGTGTCCCGGGCACAGGGCTTGGCCTGGGACTTCCAGCTGTCCTGTCCCAGGGGGCTGTGCAGACAGCCTTTTCTGCAGCAATCACGTGACAACGTGCACACAGTGCTGCCAGCCGAGCCTGCTGTCCAGTTGTTCCTGGCGGCCGGCTGCACAGACAGAGCTGACCAGCAGCCGGTCCCGCCAGAGGTCGAGCTGACCCCACAGGTCCCACGGTCCCCACTGGAATAATGTTGTGAGCACACGCTATCTACTGTGGCCCCAGGTCCCCGGGGAAACAAAGCTACTCCTATCAGGCAAGGCTCTCCAAGGCTAGAGCAGTTCCCTCCCAAAAGCCAGGAGTAAAGAGGCAAAACTTTCTTTAAAAAATATATATATACATCTTTATTGATTTCAGAGAAGAAGGGAGAGAGAGACAGAAACATCCATGATGAGAGAATCATGGAAACATCCATGAGAGAGAATCATGGATCGGCTGCCTCCTGCACGCCCCTTACTGGGGATGGAGCCCACAACCCAGACATGTGCCCTTGACCGGAATCGAACCTGGGACCCTCCAGTCAGTAGGCTGATGCTCTATCCACTGAGCAACACCGGCTAGGGCTTGAATGCATTTTTTAACCGAGAGAAATGGGAATTTAGGAGAGACTGCCTCCCGTTGTAGATTCCCTCTGGCCTGTTTATTATAGCAGCCCACACTAGACTAAGTTTGATTTCTCCGAGGACGGCAGATGAGAATGAGAAGACAGCAAGCAATGCAAAAAGTTCACATGAAATTATAGTTATCTTAGCTGGTACCTAACAGCCTTATTATCACAACAGACACGGGCTGGTGGGCACCAAGTGGAAATAGTACAGTTTTGCAAGGATATGACAGTGTTTAATACAAATTGCCAGCATTCTTGCTACAGAGTCGCAATAGGAACAGTGTATTGCTATTGATTTCCCAGCGTCTTCCCTGGCGATTCAGGAGCTTTTAGAAAGTGTGTGTTGCGACACAAAGGCTGGCGTTGTTTTCTCTTCTCTGGGCCTGGAGTGAAAAATTATGAAACCAAACATCTTTTGATAAAATTCAATATAGTCACGGTGTTTCCATGGAATGATGATTTTTTTGGTGGTGGGTGGGTGTGGAAATCTTTGTCTCCCAGGGGCCTGGAGACATTTTAAAAAGTCTTCAGAGAGGAGGCCAAACCTTGCTGTAGCCTTGCGTGTTGATACTTTGGGCCAGATAGTCCTTTGTTGTGGGCGTGTCTTGTACATTGCAAAACACTTAGCATCCCTCTGCGCCTAGCAACCCCAATCCTATTGTGACAACAAAAATGTCTCCGGAAGTTGCCGCCGTTGAATGCCACCCTCTTTGGGATTTTTAAAAATATATATTTTATTGATTTCAGAGAGAGAGGGACAGGGAGAGAGAGAGTAACATCCATGATGAGAGAGAGTCATGGATGGGCTGCCTCCTGCACGCCCCACACTGGGGATCGAGCCTGCAACTTGGACATGTGCCCTGACCGGGAATCGAACCGTGACCTCCTGGTTCATAGGTCGACGCCCGATCACTGAGCCCCACCGGCCAGGCACTGCCTGGGTTTTGATTGCATCTTGTCCACCTTTCCTCTGTTAGGATGTCATCCTGACCCTTCAGGAGAAGCTGTCCATCAAAGGCATCGAGCACTTCTCCCTCATGCTGGAGCAGAGGACGGAGGGGGCCGGGAGCAAGCTGCTGCTGCTGCACGAGCAGGAGACCCTCACTCAGGTGCGGGGGCTGCCCCTGATGACATGCCTGCCGCACAGAGGCCACCCCACCCTGGCATCCCTCCTCCCAGCACCACCATCTGCCCCGGCATCCCTCCTGCCCCATTATTTCTCCTGCCCCTGGCATCCCTCCTGCCCCATTATTTCTCCTGCCCCCGGCATCCCTCCCATCCTACTTTCCTCCCTCCCCAGCATCCCTCCCTCCCCAGCATGCCTCCCTCCCCAGCCTCCCTCCCACCACAGCATCCCTCCCTCCCCAGCATCCCTCCCTCCCCAACACCCCTCCCTCCCCAAAACCCCTCCCTCCCCAGCAGCCATCCCTCCCCAGCATCCCTCCCTCCCCAGCATCCCTCCCTCCCCAGCATCCCTCCCTCTTCAGCATCCCTCCCTCCCCAGCACCCCTCCCTCCCCACCATCCCTAACCTCCCCAGCATCCCTCCCTCCCCAGCAGCCCTCCCTCCCCAGCATCCCTCCCTCCCCAGCATCCCTCCCTCCCCAGCATCCCTCCCTCCCCAGCATCCCTCCCTCCCCAGCATCCCTCCCACCCCAGCATCCCTCCCTCCCCAGCAGCCCTCCCTCCCCAGCATCCCTCCCTCCCCAGCAGCCCTCCCTCCCAAGCATCCCTCCCACCCCAGCAGCCCTCCCTCCCCAGCATCCCTCCCACCCCAGCAGCCCTCCCTCCCCAGCAGCCCTCCCTCCCCAGCAGCCCTCCCTCCCCAGCATCCCTCCCTCCCAAGCATCCCTCCCACCCCAGCAGCCCTCCCTCCCCAGCATCCCTCCCTCCCCAGCAGCCCTCCCTCCCCAGCAGCCCTCCCTCCCCAGCAGCCCTCCCTCTTCAGCATCCTCCCCAGCATCCCTCCCTCCCCAGCAGCCCTGCCTCCCCAGCATCCTTCCCTCCCCAGCATCCCTCCCACCCCAGCATCCCTCCCTCCCCAGCAGCCCTCCCTCCCCAGCATCCCTCCCTCTTCAGCATCCTCCCCAGCATCCCTCCCTCCCCAGCATCCCTCCCTCCCCAGCAGCCCTCCCTCCCCAGCAGCCCTCCCTCCCCAGCAGCCCTCCCTCCCCAGCAGCCCTCCCTCCCCAGCATCCCTCCCTCCCCAGCAGCCCTCCCTCCCCAGCATCCCTCCCTCCCCAGCAGCCCTCCCTCCCCAGCATCCCTCCCTCCCCAGCATCCCTCCCTCCCCAGCATCCCTCCCTCCCCAGCATCCCTCCCACCCCAGCATCCCTCCCTCCCCAGCAGCCCTCCCTCCCAGCATCCCTCCCTCCCCAGCAGCCCTCCCTCCCCAGCATCCCTCCCTCCCCAGCAGCCCTCCCTCCCCAACACCCCTCCCTCCCCAGCAGCCCTCCCTCCCCAGCATCCCTCCCTCCCCAGCATCCCTCCCACCCCAGCAGCCCTCCCTCCCCAGCATCCCTCCCTCCCCAGCATCCCTCCCTCCCCAACATCCCTCCCTCCCCAAAACCCCTCCCTCCCCAGCATCCCTCCTACCCCAGCAGCCCTCCCTCCCCAGCATCCCTCCCACCCCAGCATCCCTCCCTCCCCAGCATCCCTCCCTCCCCAGCATCCCTCCCTCCCCAACACCCCTCCCTCCCCAAAACCCCTCCCTCCCCAGCATCCCTCCTACCCCAGCAGCCCTCCCTCCCCAGCATCCCTCCCACCCCAGCATCCCTCCCTCCCCAGCATCCCTCCCTCCCCAGCATCCCTCCCTCCCCAACATCCCTCCCTCCCCAAAACCCCTCCCTCCCCAGCATCCATCCCTCCCCAGCATCCCTCCCTCCCCAGCATCCCTCCCTCCCCAGCATCCCTCCCTCCCCAGCAGCCCTCCCTCCCCAGCATCCCTCCCTCCCCAGCAGCCCTCCCTCCCCAGCATCCCTCCCACCCTACTATCCCTCCCGCCCAGCGTCCTTCTGCCTGCAGATGCTTTCAGTGTGTTCACGGCATCGCTGGGCAGCCGCACTAAGGGAAGTGTTGGCGTTAATAATGGATTTTATGCCTCCAGGTGATGTTTCCCTTTCTGTCATTGTCCATAGACTGTCAGTTCACCTGAGAAACAGATTTGTCATTCACAGCCTCGGCAGCCACTCGCTGAGAACGCGGCTCTGGACAATTCCCTTTTCTGTCGTTAGAATGACTGGTCCCCTGTTTTCATCATTGGCCTCCTGAAACTATGAAAGGAAATGGCCTCTGAGGGCCTTTAAGTTCAGGCGCAATCGGATGCGTGGCTTTAGGCGCTGGGTGTCTACTTCAGACTATTTTTGGGAGCCTCGAGTCCCTGCCCCAGCCCTGCCCACTGTGAACATGGGATCCAGCGCTGCGCCCCAGTTCCTGGTGGCCACGATGCCGCCCCATCTGTTCCCTGGGGAGGCGAGCCGGCTGCTTGGCTGCTACCTCCAGCCCCACACCCTGGCTTGTCTGTATGAGGGATTTCAAGCCATTGCTCCGGAGGGTTCCTGCTGTCGTTTCTGCGTTCCTTTACCACCCGGCAGGGACCACGGCCCACGGCCCTCGGTCTCAATCCTGCCCGCAGCCATGAAGCTGGGTCCGTGTCCCTACCTGCCACGGTGCCCGGTCACCTTTCAAAGCAGGGCGTGTTGTCCCGTTGAAATTCTACTCGACATGTAAACTGTAAGCATACACACACACACACACACACACACACACACACACACACGCGTGCCATGCGGCTCAGTAAAGCCATTGCTGTATTTATTTTGAATTTCTAAGTGGCAGTTCACAAACATTCTTGCTTTTCCAGATTTGTTCCCCGCATAAAAGTTGTCACAAGTCCATGAAACCGCGTGCCCGTGCATAGAGAGTACATACGAGCGCATAAACCTGCAGGCAGAACAGCTGTGCTGGCTGGGGCTGCCCGGCCTTACGTGTGTCGTGTTGGCCTCTTTCGGGGACATGGAAGGGCTCTTCCCCTCTTTCTTGGAGTCCAGTGTCTTTTCGTTCATTCACCTGTGTGCTAAGCACCTGCTGTCCCCCACTGATCGCCTTTGTGGCCAGAGGAGGTCAGCAGCGAATCCGAATGAGCCGCGTCCCTGACCCTGGGGGACAGTGCTGGATTCCAAGCAACGTGGAACGATTTGATTTGAACGAAGTCACGGCATCCGAAGTCGGCAGTCATTTGGAAACTTGACTCCAGGTTCAGTGCAGAGGCCCAAACTGTCTTCCCGCCCCCACCCTGGCTCTGGTTGCCATGACAACATGGAGCATCTTATCTTGGGGCGGGACCGCGCTCACAGCCTCCTGGCGCGCATTCTGTCCAACCTGCAATGCACTGGTCCCCCTGGCACAGCCCCAAGCCAGGGACCAGTCTGTGCTGTGCCAGGGACCAGTCTGTGCTGTCCCAGGCCCCGTGCCCGAAGTTACCCCCCAAGGGCCGGGCTGTGGCTGAGCCCCCCTGGGGACCATGGGCTGGCCCCCCATCCTCTCCCGCCTGCTGCTCCTGGCGACAGTTCCTCAGCAAGTCCCTCCTCTCAGGGTGTTCTTGGGGGGCACCGGACCTACGTCCCAGGCTCGGTGCGTTTCCGGGGAATGAGCACCTGTGCCAGACACTGGAAGAACTTGGCCGCCCCTTCCCTCGATGTCCCAGGAAAGTTGCCTCTGCTCTTGGGGCCCTCAGCCGGTTCGCAGTCCCCACTGAGCCTCCCTGTGGTCGCTCTGCTCTTCCAGGTGACACAGCGGCCCAGCTCGCACAAGATGAGGTGTCTTTTCCGAATCAGCTTCGTGCCGAAGGACCCCATCGACCTGTTACGGAGGGATCCGGTTGCTTTTGAATATCTCTACGTGCAGGTACGTGAGCGCGCGGGCCTGTATCGTGCGAATGTTGTGGATAAATGAACTGGTTCCATCTCCCCCCTCCCCCCACTTCAGTGGGCTTTGGAAGAAAGTGTGGTCCTTACAGCTCAGCAGGAGGACTGGTGCTCAGGGAGACACCCCGAGTCCCCAGGATCAGGGTCAGTAAACCCTGTTTATCAAGTAAAGAAATGTGAGTGGATTTTACATCGGTTTTGACCCAAAACAGTAAAACTGTCATGACTTGGGTTGTTGTTGTGTTTTAATTTTTAAAAAATATATTTGTATTGATTTCAGAGAGGAAGGGAGAGGGAAAGAGAGACAGAAACATCCATGATGATAGTGAATCATGGATCAGCTGCTTCCTGCACGCCCCACACTGGGGATCAAGCCTGCAGCCCGGGCCTGTGCCCTGACTGGGAATCGAACCCTGACCTCCTGGTTCATAGGTCGACGCTCAACCACTGAGCCACACTGGCAGGGCGTGACTTGGGTTTTTTAAATGTTGGACTTTAGTCACCTGGACCTCTCAACAATGGCCCTTGTTCCCCAACAGGCCAGGGAACCCACATGTAATCGCATGAAACAGCCTGATTGACAGCTGGTCTGTTACTGCGTCTTCCCCCCATTCCTGCTCAGAACCAACCAGCGCTTTGCCTCGGCAGCCCAGACCTGGCGCGATGTTTTTTAGCGTGTTAGTTGCAAAGAGATAGTTACGGGTGCCGGGCAGGGCCTGGCCAGGCAGTGTCATCCATTGAGTTGCCGTTCTCGCCAATTCTCTCCTCATCCTGTTAACACGATGATGCCTTAAAATATATTTTATTGATTTTTTTATAGACAGGAAGGGAGAGGGACAGAGAGTTAGAAACATTGATCAGCTGCCTCCTGCACACCGCCTACTGGGGATGTGCCCGAAACCAAGGTACATGCTCTTGACCGGAATCGAACCCGGGACCCTTCAGTCCGCAGGCCGACGCTCTATCCACTGAGCCACACCAGTCAGGGCAACATGATGATGCTGTAAAGCCCTTTTGCTCGGCTTCCGTTTTAAACATCAAAATCCCATTGAGTGTGTGAAACACGGTTGCAGTTGTCCTGGGGAGGGGAGCCAGGAGCGCTGCTAAGCATGGCTCTGCAGAAGGTGCGTTTGCCCAAATGGAATGCACTCCACAGAGAAAGACACATCTTATTCAAAAGACACATCTGCCCCCGCCGGTTTTCTCAGCAGTTAGAGCGTGGCCTGCAGACCCAAGGGTCCCGGGTTCGATTCCGGTCAAGGGCACATATCTTCTTTGCAGGCTCGATCCCTGGCCCCAGTCAGGGCATGTGTGGGAGGCAACCAATCCATGTGTCTCTCTCACATCGATGTTCTTCTCTCTCTCTGTGTGTCTCTCCCCCACCCTTCCACTCTCCCTAAAAATCAATGGTAAAAAAATATCCTCAGGCCCTAACCGGTTTGGCTCAGTGGATAGAGCGTCGGCTCTGCGGACTGAAGGGTCCCAGGTTCGATTCCGGTCAAGGGCATGTACCGTGGTTGCGGGCACATCCCCAGTAGGGGGTGTGCAGGAGGCAGCTGATCGATGTTTCTCTCTCATGGATGTTTCTAACTCTCTATCCCTCTCCCTTCCTCTCTGTAAAAAATCAATAAAATATATTAAAAAAAAATCCTCGGGTGAGGATGAACAGAAACCGGTCTTTAATTTATTTATTTATTTATTTAAAAATATATTTTACTGATTTTTTACAGAGAGGAAGGGAGAGGAATAGTTAGAAACATCCATGAGAGAGAAACATCGATCAGCTGCCTCCTGCACACCCCCCACTGGGGATGTGCCCGCAACCAAGGTATGTGCCCTTGACCGGAATTGAACCTGGGACCCTTCAGTCCGCAGGCCGACGCTCTATCCACTGAGCCAAACCGGTTAGGGCAAGACCCATCTTTTATACCCCGGGATTGTCCTGAGAACAAGAAACCTGTCCAGGGATCTTGCCCCCGGAATAGACCTTCCCAAGACCTTGGGTGTTGCACGGGTGGTGGATTAGCGACCCCTTCAACAAGAAGCCCATGGGGGTTGTGGGTAGCCACGTGGGGCAAGTGACAGAGACCGAAACGAAGCTGCCATCATCACCTTTTCTCTCTTCCACTGAGAACAGGAAATGAGAATTTCTTGGACTCAGACCCCCTGCATCCAAAGGCCTCGCAGCGCACCATGTGCAGTGTGTCTAAAATAGCTTCCGCCCCGCAGCGGTCAGTGGCTGCGCAGATGGTGCTGTGGGCCCGTGTTGATTCGAAGGTGCTAAAAAGATGCAATAAAATTAGTCTAGAAAACAAAAGCGTAAGCAGAAGCAATATATATCACATTACCAAGACAAAAATGGCCCTAGCCGGTTTGGCTCAGTGGATAGAGCATCGGACTGCGGACTGAAGGGTCCCGGGTTCGATTCCGGTCAAGGGCACATGCCCGGGTTGTGGGCTCGATCCCCAATATGGGGCGTGCAGGAGGCAGCCAATCAATGATCTCTCTCATCATTGATGTTTCTATCTCTCCCTCTCCCTTCCCCCCTGAAATCAATAAAAATATATTTATTAAAAAAAAGAGAAAGACAAAAATGGACTCAGCCTAGCGGGCCTCTAATGAGGACAGTAGCCATTGACTATGGACCGTGGCAATGAAAACAGGTTTCAATGGTAAAAATATTAATCACCTGGTCATTGATGGGACCTGAGGTATGGCCGAGACTTCAGCATCTATAATAGCATAAATCTTAACAATCCAGACTGTTCTCATTCATAAGTGTAATGAGCCACGCTCACATGTAGCCGTCCCCTATCCATTAAGAAAAAGATCGTTCCGCCAGTTAGTAAACAAGGTAGTACCTGAGGCTACGATGTGTTTTTCAACATGAGCGGGATCCAGTTCCTTTTAAACATCTAGCTGTTCATTGTAAATGAACTTCCTGTAGGACTAAACTGGAGTCTCTATTAGGAAGAATGCCCCCCATTTGCTTGTGTAGCTGTATTTTAAGGAAAGGAATTGAGGGTCATAAAAGCATGATTAGTACCCAAATATGTAAGTCAGATTCACGTGAATTCTCCAGGAGTAGTCGGAACGAATTAGATGTAATCACATTATGTATAATGTAATTAAGTGGCTAATCACCTTGATAAGAAATTCACCCAGAAGTCCCTTTTAAATACAGGAGACGTGCACAGTATAACAGGGATGGGAAACACAGTTCCAGTCACAACTCTTATAAGCAAGAGTGATGACTCACCTTTGTAAGGCACGTGACATTTGATGAAACATCCTTACAAGTATAGCAGCAAGCCTTGACTTAGCTGTTTTAGCCCATTTTTCATATAAGAATACCGAGACGTAAGAGAGACGAAATGTCACGTCCAAGGTCATTTGATGAATAGTTGACAGAGGCTAGGCTCGAAGCTGGAGCTCTTGTCTCTGAATCCGATGCTAAAATCCTGTTTCCAGGCCATTGGGCGATAGCAGCCGTGGGGAAAAGTGATGCATCACAAAGCCAAGTCGCGTGCCCTTTACAGCCTGGCGCTGCGCTGGGGGGCTCCGTCCCCCTCATCTCGATGGAACTATAAAATGACCTGGTCTGGGCCCCCAGGCCCGTGCTGCTCCGTTATGGACAGCACTGGGCGCTTGGAAAGAATTCATCAACCCAAGACTAGCAGAACCAAATGCTCTCACGTGACATGCCCGCCTCGAGTCAGACCCACTTCCCCTGCACCCCTGACGGTGTCAGATCCTAAAGGGGAGCAAATGTTAGGGAGGCAAGGGGAGGGAATGACGTCACTCTTGGTGAAGGGGGCAGAGGGGCACACACCCAGAGCACGTGGGTGGGAAGTGCATTGCTGGCGCCAGTGCACGCGACGAGGATGTGAAGGTAAACACTGTGAGGAACCACACGGGGGGGTGGGGGGACACACACACACATGTTCCCATTTAGTGAAATCGGTAGGTTTGGAAAGGAGGCAAACAAATGCTGACGCAGGTGTCTGCTACAGATTGTCTAGCCCAGCCGTGGGCAAACTACGGCCCGCGGGCCGGATCCGGCCCGTTTGAAATGAATAAAACTAATAAAAAAAAAAAAAAAGACCGTACCCTTTTATGTAATGATGTTTACTTTGAATTTATATTAGTTCACACAAACACTCCATCCATGCTTTTGTTCCGGCCCTCCGGTCCAGTTTAAGAACCCATTGTGGCCCTAGAGTCAAAAAGTTTGCCCACCCCTGGTCTAGCCCCAAGCCTCGTTTCCCAGAACAAAAACAAGGACACGCACGTGCAGAATGGAGGTTAAGGCCAAGTTGCCGGAAACATGCGGTTGGTCCTTTGCTCCTGATGAGGGAGGAGGATGTCGCCCTAACAGCGGTCGCTTGTCATATAGGACAGGGGTGGGGAACCTTTTCTCTGCCCAGGGCCATCGGGATATTGATAACATCATTCTCGGGCCCTACAAAATCATCAACTTTAAAATGAGCCTGCACTAGCTGGCCAGACATTGAATGAGCTCGCCCCTCACGCCTCGGCAGGGCCAGACCACATGATGTCACGGGCCTTCTGCGGCCCGCGGGCCAGGCATTCCCCTGATGTAGGATGTTGCGCTTTACGACACTCTCAGCCACTCTTCAATGTGATGCTCCCGCAAACCCTGTGAGCTGCATGGCTCCCTGTTACAGATGAGCAAACTAAGGTCGAGAGCCATGGAATGACCGTCAGTGTCACCACTGGCGTGAACTGAGCATACTTTTCCGTTGATTTTTAGAGAGAGTGGAAGGGAGGGGGGGAGAGAGAGAGAGAGAGAGAGAGAGAGAGAGAGAGAGAGAGAGACATCGATGTGAGAGAGACACATTGATTGGTTTGCCTTCTGCACACCCTGACTAGGCCCAGGGAGGGAGCCTGCCACCAATGTACGTGCCCTTGACCGGAATTAAACCTGGGACCCTTCAGTCTGCGGGCTGACGCTCTAGCCCAGGGGTGGGCAAACTTTTTGACTCGAGGGCCACAATGGGTTCTTAAACTGGACCGGAGGGCCGGAACAAAAGCATGGATGGAGTGTTTGTGTGAACTAATATAAATTCAAAGTAAACATCATTACATAAAAGGGTACGGTCTTTTTTTTTTTTAGTTTTATTCATTTCAAACGGGCCGGATCCGGCCCGCGGGCCGTAGTTTGCCCACGGCTGCTCTAGCCACTGAGCCAAACCGGCTAGGGCTGAACTGAAGGTTTGACTAGCTCCCCTTTCCCGAATGCACGGTGCGCTGTGATAAAGCACTTTCTTTGCATCCCATCTGAGCCGCCACCACTACAGGAGGTGGTTGGTGTGAATGCCCGTGTCACAGAGGAGCACGCTGAGGCTGCGGGAGAAAGCAAACGGGTCCAAGTTGCACGCACAGGCGGTCCCAGGCCAAGCCAGGACGCCGCCCCTCATCGCCTGGCTCATGCCGCCTCCCGAAGCTGCTCTAGATGACGACAAAGAGGAAGGTGGCGGTGACGGCTGTTAGCACGTATGAGCGCTTTCACTTTACCAGGGAGAGTTGCCAGGGCTTTACATGCTGACTCATGTCGCCCTCACAACCCTGTGAACAGGGAGCAGTATCAACCCCAGTGTACAGAAGGGGAAACTGAGGCGCAGAACCAGGCCCTTTCCCAGTGTCATGCCCCAGTGAGGCGGAGGGAGGGGATTGGAAGCCCGGATCCCCAGCCCAGCAGCCTAACTCCAGACACCACCGTGCCCGCAGGGCTTCGTGTGTTCAGTTGCAGCACCTGTGTTTGGCAATTCCATACCTGAATTCCTAATTCTTTCTACAAAAAGCTAAATATTGAAATAGCAGCTCGCTTGTCGATGGATGGTAAATATTTTGCGTGGTCTGTCTGTTTGCGAGCGCGATTCAATATTGACTCGTTGCAAGCAGCGCGGGGGAGATGTTTCCACATTTAGCCTCCTTGCCTCTGAAGTGAGGGGGGATGTGGTCACCTGCTCCAGCCAGGCAGTGCCTGGGCCCATTCTTTGATGAGCTGCGCCCCCTGCTGGTCTCTCTGCAGAGTTGTAACGATGTCGTACAGGAGCGATTTGGGCCGGAGCTGAAATACGACATAGCCCTGCGGCTGGCGGCCTTGCAAATGTACATCGCAACCGTGACCACCAAGCAAACGCAGAAAATCTCTCTCAAATACATCGAGTAAGTGTTTCCTGGGATTCATTTCGGAGACGAAGTTGCTGCCCCCCTTAACGGTCAAGTGCATGTTTGACCTATGTCTATTTCCAAACTGGATCTTGGTTGTGGCAGACCATTGGTTAAACATGGGAGAAATATACGACTGACTGGCAGGTTCATTTGGGGTGGAAGAGATCCATTTCTTACATAATATACATTTGGAGAATTGCGGTTAAAATGAGGGTCAGGTTGAAAATGAAACACGTTTCTAAACTCCTACACAGACTTGGTTCCAACCAAGCTTGGGTCTCGTCGCTTTTCCGGCGTTAAGCTGCTTAATTCTCACAACATCCCTGTGAGATAAAAAAGGTGTTCGCTCCATTTTCTAGAGGAGCAAACCGAGGCCCAGAAGGGTGAAGTAGTTTTGCCCCAGTCGCACAGGCTAGAGAGGGTGGGATTCGAACCCAGGCAGGAAGAGTCCACGTTGCACTATAGTTTGTGTGATCATTCGAAGCACCTGTGTTTAGAGAGCGATCTGCACAGGCGAGGTCATTTTAGACGGTCAGAATGCGGCACGAATAGCAACGTCCTAAGTCGCAGTCGGGAAGGGTGGTGTTTGCAGTAACGAACTGTGACAGAGCGGGGAAGGATGCAACAGGACCATGAATCCGTGTTTGCCTGTCTTGCCGAGTACCCACTTACAGCATCAGTGTGCCACCGCTTTGACCAGAGAAGAGCCCCTCTCCTTAGAAATGGCAGCTTGTGTCGCTTTCAGTTGATGAGTCTGTATAAGGGTCGTCCTTGAAAAAGAGAACCCTCCGTCACCCAGTCTGCACAGTCCAAGCATGTCAAACTCGCGGCTGGCGGGCCGCATGTTTGACATGCTAATAAACAAGGCATGTGGCCCACCGGCCGCGAGTTTGACATGCTTGCACGCTCCCCATTGGTGAGTGATTCATACCCTAAAGTAGCCATACCTTCTTAATCCTGGCAGCTCTGATGCTAAGACAAAGGAACACACATATTTCAAAGTTCTTGGCAGGGCTGAAGCTACACCTCCATCTGACACTAAAAGCCTTAATGTCCCCTCCATCTCTTCCTCCAACAAATGTACAGGCTCATTGCAATCCCACCTTCTGGTCCCAGGGGCTGCCTAAAAGCCATTCTGAATCCCATAGTGCCAGGGTGACCCCCGGGGGCACTGTGGCTTCTTCTCCACAGGCCTGTGAGCTTGTGTTGAATTTTAGGGAATCTATCCTGGTTGATCATGTACCCAACCAGTGTCTTCTAAATTAGGGGAAGAACTTGAGAAGGTGCTGGCTGTTTCTTCTGCTCTAGATCCTCTATAGAAGGCTAGGAAGACAGCCAGCCGGCATGGCTCAGTGGTTGAGCATCGACCTGTGAACCAGGAGGTCAGGGTTCAATTGCTGATCAGGGCACATGCCCAGGTTGCAGGCTCTATCCCCAGTGTGGGGCATGCAGGAGGCAGCCAGTCAATGATTCTCTCTCATCACTAATGGTTCTATCTCTCCCTCCCTCTCCCTTCCTCTCTGAAATCAATAAAAATACATTAAAAAAAAAAAAGAAGGGTAGGAAGCCAGCCTTCTTCTACTGACTCCAACGCCACTGTTCTTACAACTCAGTTCTCCTCCAATACCTACAGAGAAATTGTTATGTGCAGTATGAGAACCTCTTCCAGTCCTGGCCACTCCTTTTCACAGATGCTTTCTCTCTTTCTCTCTTACCAAATGCGCTATGACTGTAGCCTGAGAGGGTCACTCCTAAAGAGGTCTTGCGCTCAGATGGACACATTCAGACCCTCACCCGCTCCCCTTTCTGAAGTTGTTGGGCGTGCATGAAAATGGCTCCCAGTTGGAAGGGTGGCCTGCACCAATTGAGATGAATTTCAGATGCCCGAAATGTATTTCTGTCCGTACTCTCTGGACCCACATTTTCCCAGGTTGAACATGGTAGTCAAACATTTCCAGAGATAACTAACTTGACTGAGAATCTTGTAGCATCTACGAGATAATGTTCTCATTAATTATTCATACACCCAACAAATGTTCATTGAGCATTTTATATGGTATTCACGCTGGGACAGTAGAAAGTAGAAAGTATGAATTATCATTTTAATCATCCATCAACCTGTGATCTGATCATAAAGACAAGACATAAAGATATGAAAAGTAATGACTTAAAATAATACAAGTAGAGTTATAAGGTAGCCCCTAAGGACTGCCAAATGATGGGTAAAGATAATAAGTACAGCCCAGCTGGTGTGGCTCAGTGGTTGAGTGTCAACCTATGAAGTAGGAGTTCAGGGTTCGATTCCCGCTCAGGACACATGGCTGGGTTACGGGCTCGATCCCCCACCCCCAGTGTGGCGTGTGCAGAAGGCAGCCAATCAATGACTCCCTATCATCATTGATGTTTCTATCTCTCTTTCCCTTCCTCTCTGAAATCAATAAATATATATATATATATACTAGAGGCCCAGAGCACGAAATTTGTGCAAGAGTAGGCCTTCCTTCCCCCAGCTGCTGGCATCAGCTTCCCTCTGCACCCGGGACCCGGGCTCCCCTAGCAGCCCTGGCTTCGTCTGGAAGGTTTTCCGGTCTAATTAGCATATTACCCTTTTATTATTATATATATTTTTAAAATAATAAGGACAAGCTGAGGAGGAGGAGGAGGGAGGAAATGGTGATTATGGAAAACACCATCTGAGCAGGTGAAGATGAAGGTTAATGGTGAAGTGGGAGGGGGAGGTCTTCCTACCCTTCTTCAAAGAGGATCTAGAGCAGGAGAGATAGCCGGCACCTTCTCAAGTTCTCCACATAATTCAGAAGACACTGGTTGGGCACATGATCAACCAGGATAGTTCCTAAAATTCAAAATAAGGAACCTTAGCATAGGGTTGTAGTCATAGGGAAATGGCTTCTTGGTAAAAAACAAAACAAAATTATTAACCCAGTCCAATTTGTTTGTCTGTTTCCTAATATATCCATACCTATGAGATGTTTGTACTTTCCCATCATACCAGACGAACTTAAGGGTCATGAACCCCACCCTGACTCCACACCAGCGTCATTCCTCTTCATTTCCGCCCCAAGCCAGAGATGTTGATGGAAGGAGTTCGGTAGACATGAACTCGCTGTGTCTCCAGGGAAACAGCCATGAACAAGGGAGATGGAGAGGGAGGCATGGCTAGGGTATGATGAAGGAGTTGCGTCCGTCCTTTTCAGAGAAGAGAGACAGAATGTGGGCAGACAGGGAGAGGTGAGAACGAGAATAAACAAGGGATGGGGAGACATTGGTGTCGGAAATACCAGCTCAGATATGTGTGAACTTGAAGAGCCTCGGGGGTGGTTTAGATGGAGACTCTGCAGTGTCCATAAATCCCAAATGCCTCTTTGCTCTCTCTCTGGAGAGTGAGTGATGTGTTTCTTTTAAAAATGCAAACATGGGTACGAAAGATCAAACAGGGTTTCCTGAGTGTAAATTAGAAGTTGCTTCCCGAGCTGGGGACTCGTCTCCTTTCCCTGCCTTGCCAAGACTTGGTTTGTTCCCACAAACAGCAGAGCGCCATTTTGTCTTCGCTAACTCCCCATCAGAAGGATGTGAAATTAAAGCCATGCTCTTCATTGCAGAAAAGAGTGGGGATTAGAGACGTTCCTTCCCTCGGCTGTGCTGCAAAGCATGAAAGAGAAGAACATAAAGAAGGCACTTTCACACCTTGTCAAAGCAAATCAAAACTTGGTACCACCCGGCAAAAAGGTATCACATTTGCATCTTAATAGAAAATGGATTTTCAAGAGAGAGGCTTGCGTGCATTTTTTTTAAAACGTTTAAAATTAGCCCGTGAATAAAAGACTTAGCCCCATATTTTCAGAAGCAGAAACATTCTAACCTTTTTAGTTTTAACCATTAACATGTTCCTAAGACTAATGAAAAATAAGTATTTGTATGGAAACCTGTTTCTTTCTTCCAAGCTATAGGCTTGTATTATATGGGGGTGGGGGGGTGGGGGGGAGAGGGGGAGATGGTTGTTCACATGGGCCCGAAGGAGAACCTGGCATGACCTCTGGTTAGAGCAGTGGTTCTCAACCTTCTGGCCCTTTAATCCAGTTCCTCATGTTGTGGTGACCCCCAACCATAAAATGATTGTCATTGCTACTTCATAACTGTCATGTTGCTACTGTTAGGAATCGTCATGTAAATATCTGATATGCAGGATGGTCTTAGGCGACCCCTGTGAAAGGGTCGTTCGACCGCCAAAGGGGTCGCGACCCACAGGTTGAGAACCGCTGGGTTAGAGGCTAGACTTGCAAGAAAATTGTACATTTCCATATGCTCTTGCTTTCCACTCAGACTAGCTCAAGGGTGCAGCAGCCAGCACGGGTCCCTGCAGGCCGGATGCCACGTTAACTAAACCAGGGTTCCCTACGTCAGTACCCCTGACCTTGGGGACCAGATTATTCTTTGTTGGGACTGTGGCTGTCCTGCGCACTGTGGGATGTTTCGCAGCATCCCTGGCCTCTACCTGCGAGAGGCCAGTAGCACCCACCCCCTCAATTGTGACAAACAAAGACACCACCGGACATGTGTCCTGGGGCACAGACTCACCCCACGCTGACAACCAGTGAATGAGACCTGACTTTTGGAAGGACAATGAAATGATTTGTGTTCACCATCGTTCGAATTACAATCTTTTTAATTATCAAGTAGGAGAAACAAAGGATATTTAAAAATATACTATTGGTCAGAATAAAGAGCTGTGTTTATAGGTAATACAGAGTGCAGGGTTTCAGGAACCGGGGAGAGAAAGGCCTTGAAAATACTGGTCCTGTGAAACTGGAAGAAGCCCACCAACCCAAGGGCATTTTCCTGTTGACACTGGCCATGGGAACTCGGGAGATGCCAATACAAATCACTGTTTATATGGGCAATTCTTTGGTCTTAGGATCTGATCTTGAGTCATTTTTACTAGCTTATTGCTATTCCCTCCTCACCCTGTGGCTTTTTAAATTTTATTTTAATTTTTATCATTGTTCTATTTTGTTATTAGTTATTGCTGTTAATCTCTCAGTGTGCCTACTTTACAAATTACACTGAGTGGCCAGATTATTATGACCACCCCATCAGTACTTCATTGACACTTCCAAAAATACTGAATATTGAAAACTTCCTAAGCAAATACTCTCAAGGTTTTATTATTATTATTATTATTATTATTATTATTATTTGCATAACTAATTCACTTCATTGTACTGATGGGGTGGTCATAATAATCTGGCCACTCAGTGTAGATATGTATGTATAGGAAAGAACATAATATATATAGGGTTCGGTACTGTCAAAGGTTTCGGGCATCCACTGGGGGCTTTGAAATATATGTCTTACAGATAAGGGGGGGACCATTGTACTCATTTTCTTTATACCAAGTTGCCACTTGTTTTTATTCAATTATATTGGGGTGACGTTAGTCAACACGAACATACAGGTTTCATGTGTGGATTACTAAGTTACAAAATCTGTATAGAGCATCGTGTGCCCACCACCCAAAGTCACATCTTCTCCTGTCACCTCATATTAGGACCCCTTTCTCCCCCCCACCCCATGGCTTTTTTAAACAAATAATCTGATTCAACATGCTATCCGCCCCTTCAACTTACTTCCGGTTCCTGGAACCATTCAGCTCATTGAAATGTAGCAGGACATCACAGATCAAGATTTTTAAAATTTCGGATCTGATTTGCCCAAAGCTCATTTCGTTTGACTAACTTGATAGGGGTTTTTCTCAAGCCTGGCCCAGTGGTTTTTTAATTTGGATGCCTGCTCTAAGATTGATCTGGCTATAAAGGTCATTCCTTCTAGCCAAGAGTGAGTGGTTTGCTTTCGAATTGATTTGCAAATTGCTTGGGGTTTTTAAAAGAAATAGGATGGATGAACAGTCCTGAATGCCAGTTACATAAAGGGTAGTGTGCTTAGGTGAGTTAACCAATGAGTTGGCAAATCACCTCCGATTGAAAACAGTGACTGCTACTCAGGGTCTACGCTTGTTGGAAATCTCGCCCCCAACAAGCATTCCTGGCACGTTCAGTATGAACCATGGACTGTTTTTTTTAATCAAGTACTTTTTTATGACATGGGAATCTACATATTTAAGTCTTTCTGAAGATAAATTTCATCTGGATAAAATTTCATTTGTGAATCATTCATGAACCTCAATAGATTCCCGGAGTCGAATGAATGAAACAGGGACTTAGAGAGCAAGTTCCAACACTCCCACAATGCTCAGGAAGTTTATTTTCCCCTAAAAACTTGCGAAGACTGTGAGAAACTTGACCTGGACGTGTAGAGCCTGTTTAAAGGCTTTAGATAGATGTCAGGTGTGTATTCAAAACCACTCCCACAAACCGCATACAGGCAGGTCTCCTGTGGGTGGGAGAATGGACAACTGCCTTTGTCCCTGATTGCAATTGGAGACATCACTCGCCTTTTGAAACCTCCTTATGAGTAGCTGTTTCAGTGGAACATTTTATCATCTTGTTCTCACTTTTTTAAAAAAATATTTTTTAATTAATTTCCGAGAGGAAGGAAGAGGGAGAGATAGAAACATCAATGATGAGACAGAATCATTGATTGGCTGCCTCCTGCACCCTCCCCATTGGGGATCAAGCCCGCAACCTGGGCATGTCCCCTTGACTGGAATCGAACCTGGGACCCTTTAGTCCACAGGTCAATGCTCTGTCCACTGAGCCAAACTGACCAGGGCTTGTTCTCACTTTGTTGAGTGCCTGGCCCAGCGCACCTGTACTTATGAGTCCCCCATACGTTTCCCCAAAATAAAACAAATTTAATCCAAATGTCCTGCCGCCGCCCTTCATCAGGAAGCCAAATACAGAACGATTTTATTTCATTTTTCATGACGAGTCCTTGTCACATGCGCCTGTTGGCGGTCATCTGATTTGCCCTGGTTTTCAGCTGGTCTCCGGCAGGAATGGAGTCACACCCAATGGAGTTCACACCTGATGTCTCTTCTCTCCACACAGCTCTCTGCCCTGCAAGCCAAGGTCCATTATCTCAAGTTCCTCAGTGACCTTCGTCTGTATGGGGGCCGTGTGTTCAAGGCAACACTAGTGGTAAGTTCTTTCTTTCTTTACTTTTCTTTCTTTTTTTGTTTTGTTTTTTGTTTTGCTCTTTCTGGAAAGTCATGGAGGCCTGGAAATGTCACTGCACGGGCTGTCTTGAATGAGTTGCTCTTGATGACAGAAACAAGTCAGCTGTGAATACTTGCCAGCCTTTGTTTCTGATTCACTGCACCACAGTCTGAACTGTGGGAAGAAATGTTAAACCAGACACGGCACCGCAGCGTGCCCTGGGAAAAGGAGTGGGAAAACCCAGAAGTGTTGTACTCTGACCATGGTCCTCCTTTCAGTCATTGGACCAAAAGTTGCTTTCACATAAAAAAAAATTTCTCATTTCTAAAAACCTCTCATGATTATGAATGTACATGCTATGGCAACATTGACTTTCTACATTATTCTTAATTTATCAGAGCCTCAGTGCAGTCATATATCTGGTTCTTCTAATTGGGTGACTTAGTACAATAAAACCTAGAAATGCTTTCTAAAGAAAATGGAGTTTTGCCCAGCCAGTGTGGCTCAGCGGTTGAGCATCAACCTATGAACCAGGAGATCAGGGTTCGATTCCCAGTCAGGGCACAGGCCCGGGTTGTGGGCTCCATCCACAGTGTGGGGCGTGTAAGAGGCAGCTGATCGATGATTCTGTCTCATCATTGATGTTTCTCTCGCTCTCTCCCTCACCCTTCCTCTCTGAAATCCATAAAAATCTATTAAAAAAGAAAATGCAGTTTTATAAACACATTCTCTCGGGTCTTAGAAGTCTAGTATTTTTATATTTTGTCAATGTCCCTTTCTCAGCAGGCAGAAAAGCGCTCGGAAGTGACCCTCCTGGTGGGGCCCCGATATGGCATAAGCCACGTCATAAACACCAAAACCAACCTGGTGGCTCTCTTAGCTGACTTCAGCCATGTGAACAGGATCGAGATGTTTACCGAAGAGGAGAGCTTGGTGAGGGTGGAGCTCCATGTGCTGGACGTGAAGGTAAGTCGGCCGGATGTTGGCACATGGCCTTGATTGGAGCAGCCCATTTGTGCTACGCTGCTGCTACTTACTAAGCATGTAGAATGTCCATGTGTCCAGAGCATCAAAGATGCGATGTGGTACAGAAAAAAAATCCACCCAACTCACAGGGACAAGTCGCTCTTCTTCCCTCGGCTCGGTTTCTTCTTGTCTATGTAAGAGAGCAAGCAAGTTCATTTCTAAGGTCCTTTCAGCTCCGGAATGCATGAGTCAGAGAGAGTGGGAGAGAGTTTTCGCTTCTAACTTTTTAGAATGTATGAGTCTTGTATAGACAGGGAGATTTTCCCCAACTCTGATTAGAACTCCCACTCCCTTGCGTTAGATCTGGTCCCCTGTGTTTATGCTTTTGGAAAAGCTGAGCATTTCAGTCAGTCTGTCTTTCCATACTAGAGCAATGGGTCCTGATTCCTATGAATGTCATGGTCATTCCATTTAAAACAACAATCTGAGATCGTCCTCAAGGGGTAAAGCTTTCTTCCCCAAACAGAAGTCGTTAGGAAGTGATCAAGGCCCCTTGGCCCCACCTTCTTGTCCCAGTAATGGATGAGTCGTTGGATTGGGGCATTGTTGATGTACCCAGTGTTTGTGTGGAGAAGAGGCACTGACTGGAAGAGAGGCAGTGACTCCACAAAGCAAGCACTGTCAACGGGAAGTGCTCTGAGAACAGGCAGGGGTGACCCACTCCCACCATGGTGGCATGGGCAGAGCGGATTAAGAGGAACTGAGAATATGGGAAAGGGTTTCTACACAGCAGATTGGACAGCATCAGTGTTCTGCAGCAGGAAGAGATGACCTCGAGCCCTGACCGGTTTGGCTCAGTGGATAGAGCATCAGCTTGCGGACTCAAGGGTCCCAGGTTCGATTCCGGTCAAGGGCATGTACCTTGGTTGTGGGCACATCCCCAGTAGGAAGTGTGCAGGAGGCAGGTGATCGATGTTTCTCTCTCATCGATGTTTCTAACTCTCTATTCCTCTCTCTTCCGCTCTGTAAAAAATCAATAAAATATATTTAAAAAAAAAAGAGAGAGAGAATGCGCATCTCCGCCATGTTGGCCATGGCCCATGGGAGTTCATGGGCTAACCCCAGGGACTCTCTTTGTCTTCAATGTACAAGAGTAGACTTGGAATGCCTGCCTGCTCTATGATCAAAGATGCTGAAAACAATAGCTCATCATGGGAAAAGGATGAATTGGATGCAGTCATCACAGACCTGCTAACTAGGGATAATCTGTCCCAAACAGAAGTGGGTGGCGAGACCCTATCCATGGTTTCCTGCCCCTATAAATAACTGTGGGGTGGCTTGAGAGGAGACCTCAATTGAAATGGGAAGAAAAGGCAGTTCAGTAACTAGTAGAGCAGCTTTGGGTGGGAAGTTAAATTCCACCAGTGGGAGCGAAAGCAAGAGGCCTATCATCTCGCTATTTCTCTGTCTACCTGGGTGTCTGCTTGTTTGTTGTTCTCTTATTTCCCTCTTGCTTTGTCTCTCAGCAAGAGCACTCCAGCCCCTCTACCCTTCCTAACTCAATGGGAATAGTTGCTTAAATTGAACATTTCCTTCCCTATATTCCAGTGGTTCTCAACCTTCCTAATGCCGCGACCCTTTCATACAGTTCCTCATGTTGTGGTGACCCCCAACCATAAAACTATTTTTGTTGCTACTTCATCACTGTCATATTGCTACTGTTATGAATCGTCATGTAAATATCTGATATGCAGGATGGATTTTCATTGTTCGTGACCCAAAGATCCATGTACCAGGAAATAATAACCTCACTGCTTCCAGAAAGTTTTATTTTTTAGCAAGGCCTTTTCTCATCTCTCCTTTGACCTCCTGTTAATTGACAGTTTCTTTTAGAAGCAGCCTCTTTCTGGATCTATTTGACACTTTTTGTTCCGTCTTAGCAGTAATTTCCACTTCATTTTTACTTCTCTTCAACACTAATTTTCATCCTGAACCCAAACTTCACTTCCTATGATTTTTCAGATTGTGGGTTCCGATCGGCTAACAAACTCCTTAACTATCCCTTTTTTAAAATGTTAACTGTTTGGGAACAAAACCAATGTTGTTTTCTTTCTGGACTTGGAAAAGATTCAAAATGTCTAGGTCTTAAAATGATGCCACTTACCTGTTTCTCAGTAAGGCTCTCTGTTACGCCTGACCTTTCCCCCACATTTCTGTTTTTCCGATGAAATGGTTGCTCAATAACTTTTATTGTTTACATTTCCTATGCACAAATGCAGTCGCTGTCACCTGAGGGAAGAGAGCCAGGAGAGGTGGCTTTAACCAAGTCGTTCTCTTTTGTGTAGCCCATCACACTGCTGATGGAATCATCAGACGCCATGAACTTGGCCTGCTTAACAGCTGGATACTACCGGCTACTTGTGGATTCCAGGAGGTCCATCTTTAACATGGCCAACAAGAAAAATGCGGGAACCCAAGAAACAGGTATTCTCTCCCTAAACTCATGAAGTGGTGACTGCCCTTCCCACCCATTTGACCAAAACAATAAGGATCTTTTTTATATATATACATATACTAGAGGCCCGGTGCACGACATTCACTGTCCGGGAGCCCTTGGGGGATGTCCGACTGACGGGGAGCGGGCCTAAGCTGCCAGGCAGACAGCCTTAGCGCTGCCACGGAGGTGGGAGAGGCTCTCACCACCGCCGCTGTGCTCGCCAGCCATCAGCCCGGCTTCTGGCTGAGGGGCGCTCCTGCATTGAGCGTCTGCCTCCTGGTGGTCAGTGCGCATCATAGCGACTGGTTGTTCTGCTGTTTGGTCGATTTGCATATTACCCTTTTATTATATAGGATATATGTCTTTATTGATTATTACAGAGAGGAGGGGGGAGGGGTAGAGAGAGAGAAACATTGATGAGAGAAGAACATCATTGATCAGGTGCCTCCTGCACACATCCCCACTGGGGATCGAGCCCGCAACCTGGGCTCGTGCCCTGATCGGGAATCAAACTGGTGACCTCTTGGTTCCTGGGTCGACACTCAACCACTGAGCCACAGTGGCCGGGCAGGATCTTTCTGGAAAAGTGAAAATCATATGCATAAAATCTAATATCCAGATTTAACACAAGAGCCTTCAAGTCCATCTTATATGGCCTAATTTTTTTCTCTGACAATGTTGATTTCAGCATCACATTTTACATGTCACTCGGAAATGCGGGGGTATATTCTCCAAAAGCAGGGATTTGATTACTGTGATGGGAGTGAGCGTCAGTCTGTATGGCTGGGTTTTAATGTCTCCCTCTCCAAGGAGTCAACATGCAGAGAACTAACAATAGGATGCCCCGTAGGAAGGGGGAGCCCCCACTTTAGGCCTTGTCCCTCCTTGAGGTGCTGTAGGCCCAGACGCCTGGGACCCTCCTCAGGCATCCGACTTAGCTCCAGAATCTGGGATCTCTCCCAACAGGGTGACTTGGGTATCGCCCAGGACTTGGATTTGGGGCTTTAGCTCTGTATTGGGTGCTTGGAGATCACCAGCATATCAAATACTTCAGTCCCGCCACTTGACAGGACGAAATAAACCGGAGTGAGGACAAGGAGGGCCAACCGTGACCTTGGCAGGTTCTCCGAAGGCGGGTGGTTTCCGTTTTCTTGGAAACTGTTTGCTTCAGTGTTTGACTTTTCCTCCGTCTCCAGGGGACGCTCAGTAAGTGTGGCTGATGGACAGACACAACTCTTCGAGCCAAATCTCCTGACCCGTGAACAATGACTAATTGCATTTCGTAATAGTCTGATTGGGTCCCTAACAGGGCTTCTGTGGAAGACAGGGAAATTCTTAAGAAAAAATTCCATCTTCAGTGAACCATAAATGATTCCTCCAGAAATGTATTGTGATGTGTAAACACGCACACACAGACTCGCATGCAGGATGTGATGATGGCTGGTTAGATGGCAGCCATGCCAGTCACAGGATCAGGGGAACCAGAGGGCGAGAAAGAGATGGACAAGGCATGCCCAAAGCAACTTGGACTTGAGACTAGATTTAATCCAGCCCCACCTTGAAATCCTGTGTTTTTTTTAAATTTTTATTTATTTATTTATGTGTTTTTAATCTTCATTGTTGAAAGTATTACATCTGTCCCCTTTCTCCCTATTAACCCCTTATTGTCCCCCCACCCCAGGCCTTCACTGCCCTATCGGCTATGTCCATGGGCCATGCATATATGCATACAAGGTCTTTGGTTGATCTCTTACCACCCACCCACCCTCCCCCACCTTCCCTCTGAGATCCGACAGCCTGTTCCATGATTCCATGTTTCTGGATCTATTTTCTTCATAAGTTTAGTTTGTTCATTGGATTCCACATGAGTGAGATCATGTGATAATTTGGGTTTTTGCATTTGTAGAATTGGGATTTAAAACCCAGCTTTCAAGGTAAGAACTAGAAAAAAAGAAATCTTATGTACCATCCCTAAAACGATGCTCAGTGCCTCTACTAATAATTGGCCGTGGGAAAAAAAAAACAGATGGAAAAAGTTCAGAATGAAAGTGACAGAAACACAGAAAGGAATGGAAGACAGACATAAGACAAGGAAAGACCCCGAGAGACACAGACGATTAGAAATAAATAGGGAGGGAACGAAACGGCGGTGGTGAGCATTGTTGGGTTTGGTGGGGAACATTTTTCTGACCACGTGTTTCCACTGACTAGGAGATTTAGAGCAATTTAACGCCAACCTTTGAAATTCCGAAGAGCAGTTCAGCAACTTAACACGATCCTTTAACATTTGAAAACCAGTTTGGGGCTTTGTATTTTCAAATCTTAAATTTATCTTGAAAATGTAACCTTTTGCAGGTGCACGAAAAAGAGCAGACAGACCACTCTAATACTGGCTACAGTCATAAGGGCCTGGGTTCTGCCCACTTTCTAGTGCAGCCGTGGGCAAACTACGGCCCGCGGGCCGAATCCGGGCCATTTGAAATGAATAAAACTATTGAAAAAAAAGACCGTACTCTTTTATGTAATGATGTTTACTCTGAATTTATATTAGTTCACACAAACCATCCATGCTTTTGTTCCGGCCCTCCGGTCCAGTTTAAGAACCCATTGTGGCCCTCGAGTCAAAAAGTTTGCCCACCCCTGTTCTAGTGACTCACAATGTAATGTTTAATGAAATTTCAAGAGGCAAAAACTTAGTTCCAGAAAGTATTAGCACCACGGGGAAAGGGTGGAATTTCAACCTTTCAGTAATTTCTCCCAGTTCTACAGTGAGAATGAGGGTGAGGGCACGTGTTGCAAGTATCTCTCTCCACTCTCAGAGAGAAATTGAGAAGCAGAGAGCATGCGCATGAGAGAGAGAGAGAGAGAGAGAGAGAGAGAGAGAGAGAGAGAGAGAGAGAGAGAGAGAGAGGACAAGGGAGAGAAATGGCATACTCCAATTGCCTTGGTTTTAGCCTGCTGACCTGTTTAGTTTTCTTGTTGGTTTAATTCAGGAGTTGACAAGCTATGGCCCATGTGCCAAATCTTGTTCTTGTAAATAAAGTTTTATTGGAACTCAGCCATGCACATTGGATCAGTTTCTTAGGACTCTGTAACAAAGTAGGTCAAACTTTCGGGTGTAACATACAAGAAACTAATCTCTCACAGTTTTGGCAGCTAGAGGTTCAAAATCCAGCTGTTGGCAGGGCCACGCTCCCTCCAAGGGCGCTAGGGGAGAAACTTCTCTCGCCTCTTCCCACTTCTCATGGGTGTCGGCATTCCTTGTGGCTGTGTAGCTCCGATATCTGCCTCTGTCGTCACATCACATGGCCCTCCCCTCGTCTCTCTGGGGTCCACATCTCCCTCTGCTTTCCTCTCATGAGGACACTTGCCATTGGATTTAGTGCCCTTACAATAGTTGAGGATGATCTCATCTCGCGATCCTTAATATAATTACATCTACAAAGACTCTTTTTCCAAATAAGGTCACATTCACAGAATGGACATACGTTTTGCAGCCACCATTCAGCCCACTACATCCATTTGTTTATGAATGATCCCTGGCTGCTTTCATGTTACAACAGGGTTGAGTAGTTGCTCAGCTGAGCAGTTGGTCCGAAAAACCTAAAGTATTTACGATCTGGCCCTCCCCTTACAGAAAAGAGTTGGCTGGACTCTGGTTTAAAGCCATCACAACTTTGCTGAACCACTTTAGCTCCCCTGATAATCCATACCCCTGACACACATGTGCATGTGTGTGTGTGTGCGCACACACAGCCAGTCATAATGTAGGTTGTCATTCATGAAACAATCCACAAAGCAGTATTGATAGTAACACACTGGCCCATCTTGTTAAATATAAGAACAAAATCTCCACCGCAAAATCCCTATAGAAAGACCCTTGAATTCCAGCTGGCGTGGCTCAGTGGTTGAGCGTCAATCTATGAACCAGGAGGTCATGGTTCGATTCCCGGTCAGGGCACATGCCTGGGTTGCGGACTTGATCCCCAGTGTGGGGTTTGCAGGAGGCAGCTGATCAATGATTCTCTCTCATCATTGATGTTTCTCTCTCTTTCTTTTCCTCTCTGAAATCAATAAAAAATTTTTTTTTAAAAAGAAAGACCCTTGAAGGGCAAACAAAACAATAGTTTTTAAATTAGGATTTTGCTGTTTTAATTCATGCAGGCCATCAAATAAGTCTTCAGAAAGTTCTCATGACACAAATAAAAATTGAAATTAGTCAAAGTATTAACTGTGCTTGGAAATAGCAGAGAGAAGTACATTACCTCTGTGTGCTCCACCTTCGGCACCATATGCGCATGTGCGTACAGGCACGGTTACTAACATTCATATGGATATATAAAGAGCCACTAGGATATAAAAGAGCTGAAGAGAGGTTTTTGTACTATCATTCCAATATTTATTATTACATTATATTTTATTGATATATTTTATTTTGCATGATCATTACAATATCTTCTAAGATACATGGTAGAAGTATGTGGATTCTTGACTTTCTCTTAACTCAATGAGGAAAAAGGCCCACATCTTCCTCTACAAAGTGGGTAACGTTAGATCTCGCTTTACAAAGTAAAGGAGAACATGGATTGCCATGTTCTGGAATAACAGCCTATTGGCTTGCCACCTTTAAGGATTTGAAAGGCATGTTTTCTATTCACCTTCACAGATGGACATGAGGTCTTTCAATAATAAAATAAAGAGCCAGATGGAATGAAGTTATAGTTCCCTACTCTCAGATGGTACTGGTATATTTTATCAAATAGCAATGATAATTTATGCAATACCAATTCTGTTAAGGTCAATTCTCCTAACCAAGAAATCCTTACACCTGAGGCCTAAATCGACCACTGCCATATTTGGAAAGCTCAGTAACCCTGTTTTTATAAAAGTGATGTAACAAGCCATTCAATTAAGAAACAGCCCAGCCGGCATGGCTCAGTGGTTGAGCATCGACCTATGAACCAGGAGGTTCGATTCCCGGTCGGGGCACATGCCCGGGTTGCAGACTTGATCCCCAGTTGGGAATGTGCAGGAGGCAGCCAATCAATGATTCTCTCCCATCATTGATGTTTCTCTCTCTCTCCCTTTCCCTTCCTCACTGAAATCAATAAAAAGATATTTTAAAAAACAAAAACAAAACAGAGACGAGGCCCCCAGAAACCAGACAGCACTGTAATGTGTCTTTGCATGATTCTTTCTCCTCAGGAACTGAAAATAAAGGAAAACTTAACATCCTTGGCCCCGATTGGAACTGTATACCCCAAATGACCACCTTTATTGGCGAAGGGGAGCAAGAAGCCCAGATAACATATATAGATTCCAAACAGAAGACAGTGGAGATTACGGATGGCACCTCGTGTCCAAAAGACCACCGGCACGTGTACATAGCCAACACCTATAATCCTGATGACCTCAACCCTCAGCTGGCGCAGCCGGGAGACGCCCCGTGTGAGGCCGACTACAGAAGCCTCGCTCCGCGGTCTCTGTTGACCTTCTCAGGCCCAGAAACTCTCAAGAAAGCACAGGAATCTCCGAGAGGAGCCAAAGTGTCCTTCATTTTTGGAGATCTCACCATGGACGAGGGGAGCAGTCCCCCAGCTCTCAGCTACGACAGACTCTTGGATGAGAATCCGGAGCTGCTGGAGAAGCAGGCGAATCTGTACATGAGAAGTGCCAACGACATGAAGAGCCTGGACCTCGCCCCCGACGCGGAGAGCATCCCGTTTGGGGAAAACTCCGTGTATGCGAACATCGGCGATGTGAAGAGCTTCGAGGCCACCCCGGGCATCGAGGAGCCCCTTCTCCATGACATTTGCTACGCGGAAAACACCGACGATGCGGAGGACGAGGACGAGGTGAGCTGTGAGGAGGACCTCATGGTGGGCGAGATGAACCAGCCGGCCCTCCTCAACCTGTCTGGCTCAAGCGACGACATCATTGACCTCACGTCCCTGCCGCCTCCGGAAGGGGATGACAATGAGGACGACTTCTTGCTGAGGTCCTTGAACATGGCCATCGCTGCCCCGCCGCCTGGCTTTCGAGATAGTTCAGACGAGGAGGACTCTCAGAGCCAGGCCGCCTCCTTCCTCGACGGCAAGGAGCCGGGCGGCGGCCTGCAAAACGACGAGATCCCCGTGTCCCTCATCGACGCGGTGCCCACCAGCGCCGAGGGGACGTGCGACAAGGGACTGCCTAAGCCCGCCGTCTCCCCGCTGGGAGCTCTGGGAGCTCTGTCCGTGTCAGAGGAACAGCAGACCAGTAACAATTCAGGTTCTTTCACGATCGTTACGTTCATTCACTGATAAGCTCCTCATCACGCATCCCATCCAGCCATTTGCCCTCGGAGCCCCTTGTGTGCTGTTGTCCATCTCACGCATGTCCCATTTCATACATGTGCGGGCATCCCATCATGGCTTTTTTGTGTATGTGGTTTCTTTTCCTTTTTTTAAAAAAATAAAATAAAATACATGTGGCACGTTCCTCCCCCCCCCCCCGCCCCCCCATTTCTGGAACATCTGTGCAATAAACTCAGAGTCCTCCCCGAAAAGGGAACCGCTTGCTTGGTTTGGTTCTGTTCCGTTCTGATCACAATGATGCCATTCTCGCCCGCGTCCCAGGTGCCTCTTTGCATCCATTAATCGCCTCTTGTTTCTCACGGCATGCAGGTGTAGCCATCTTGAGGGCTTATAGCCCCGAGTCTTCCTCAGACTCGGGCAATGAGACTAACTCTTCCGAAATGACGGAGAGCTCTGAGCTGGCCACGGCGCAGAAGCAGTCCGAGACCCTGTCCCGCATGTTCCTGGCCACGCCCGAAGGCTACCACCCCCTCGCCGAGGAGCAGACCGAGTTCTCCGCCTCCAAGGCCCCGGCCGCGGCCTTGCCCCCCAAGGCCTCCCACGCCCTGGCCGCCCGGCCCTTGCCCGTGACCGTGACCGACGGGCCGTCCAAAGTCGTGCCTTCCAAGCAGATCCTGCACTCAGACCACATGGAGATGGAGCCCGAGACGATGGAGACCAAGTCGGTCACGGACTATTTCAGCAAACTGCACCTGGGTTCGCTGGCATATTCCTGCACCAGCAAGAGGAAAGGCAAGCTGGCCGACGGGGAGGGGAAGGCGCCCGCGAGTGGGAATGCGCCAGGGAAGAAGCAGCCGGGGGCCAAGTCCGCCGAGGCCGAGGAGGACGCCAAAGGTAAATTTGGGACCGTGTCTCCCAGGGACGGTCCGCACCTGGGCGCTTTTAACCTGGAGAGAACTGCCTTCCGCAAGGACAGCCAGCGATGGTACGTGGCCACGGAGGGCGGGGCGGCTGACAAGGGTGGCCTGGAAGCAGCCACGGGGATCTTTCCACGCGCTCCTGGTCTGGGGCCACGGGAGGCCGAAGGGAAGGAGGAAGGGGCTCCCCGTGGGGAAGCCCCTGAGGTTTCAGGACTTGGCCAGCGGGACCACTTCTTAACTGACGCGACCTGTGTCCCTTCCGCCAAAGACTTAGACCACCCAGGGGATGCCGACCCGTCGACCTGTGACCGTCCCTCCCAGCTGGCCGGCGCGGAAGAGAGCGTGGCCCATCTCTGTGACTACCACTTGGCCAAGCGCATGTCATCGCTGCAGAGCGAGGGCCATTTTTCCCTTCAGAGCTCTCAAGGCTCTTCGGTGGACGCGGGCTGCGGCACCGGCAGCAGCGGCAGCGCCTGCGCCACCCCCGTGGAGTCCCCGCTCTGCGCCTCCGCGGGCAAAGGCGGGCCTTACGGGCCTTCCGAGGAGAGAGGCCCCGGGCTGCCCAGCCACGGAGCCCCCTTTAAGGAATCACACCCTCAGCCGGAAGGGGTGTGTCCCCGGATGACAGTGCCTGCCCTGCACACAGCCATTAATGCTGAACCCCTGTTTGGGACTTTGAGAGATGGATGTCATCGACTCCCCAAGATTAAGGAAACCACAGGTACAGAAATGAGGGATTTCGCGCTTCGCCTGATACACCAGGAGCGTGGAAACCCAGCTCACAACAAACCTAAAAAAAACGTGAAATCTCTGTCCTAGCCTGTGTGGTTCAGTGGATAGAGCATCGGCCTGCAGACCAAAGGGTCCCGGGCTCGATTCCGGTTGAGGGCAGGTACCTGGGTTGCAGGCTCCTCCCCGGCCCGGGTCCTGGTCGGGGCTCGTGCAGGAGGCAACCCATCGATGTGTTTCTCTCACATCGATGTTTCTCTCTCCCTCTCTCTTCCACTCTCTCTAAGAATCAATGGTAGAGATGGCATGGCTCTTTAGAATCTTGCTCTGTTCTTGCTTGTAGAATCGGAGGGAGCAGTATGTGTTTCTAAATTCTAAATGCAGACTTTCAGCAGTGCCCTGGGTGACTTGTGATTACAAGATAATATTGCTTAGAGTCACAGAAGGGTTTGATTTCCTTTTTAAGGCGTTGGATTTCTGATTTTTGCCATTTCATTTTTGAGAGGCAAGGAAGGATCATAGAGCAAGGGGGTCAGGGAGATGGAGGGACTGGGAGAGATCATTCACCTTTCAGCAATAGTTACAAATTCCTCTTGACTCTGTAAGACTCCCAGCGGAATATTCTGACGTGTTAATGAGATCTTATATTGGTTAATGTCTATTCCTGCTCTTTTAAGATGATCTACTTTCTCAAAACCCACCACTCAATTAAAACAAAAAAAAAAAAGCCCTAGCCTGCTGGCTCAGTTGGTTAGAGCACCGTCCCCATACACCAAGGTCACGGGTTCAATCCTCGGTCAGGGCACATACAAGACTCAACCAATGAATGCATAAAGAAGCGGAACAGCAAATTGATCTCTCTCTCTCTCTCTCTCTCTCTCTCTCTCTCTCTCTCTCTGTCTCAAACCTAAAATCAATTTTTTAAAATATATTTTTATTGATTTTAGAGAGGAACGGAGGGGGAGAGAGAGATAGAAACATCAGTGGTGAGAAAATCATGGATCGGCTGCCTCCTGCACACACCCTACTAGGGATCGAGCCTGCAACCCGGGCATGTGCCCTTGGCTGGAATCGAACCCGGGTCCTTCAGTCCACAGGTCAACGCTGTATCCATTGAGCCAAACCAGCTAGGGCTAAAATCAATTTATTTAAACCCCACCACTGGCTTAACCTGCCATGGGAAACCCGCCAGTGAATTTACATAATTCATCACCGAACTGTTATCTTTATCTCTAAACTAATTAGAGGATGCTTTCACCAACTTACCTCTTCTCACAAAAATTCTGTGAAATGGAGATTTTCTTCACATAATTTTCCCAGTGTCTCCACTTCAAAACCTGTACGAGGAGAATTTCATGGGATCCTCTTTAAAAAGCGAGCTGATATAATTTGCATTCAGTAAATTAGGCCACTTCTTTATAAAAAATTAACAGATGCCAGGATTAACCTAACTCCCTTGAAATGAAACTTGAGTGTCATAAACATGTTTGAATAGTTTATACCTAGAATGTGCGTTTTCTAATTATGTGTCTAAACTTTGACAGGTAAATGGGAGCAAACCAATTCATGTAATTCCATTGTCTCCCTGGAAACATTGGGGATTTCTAGACAATTCCAAATGAATCAGCAGTTTAAGATATAACAGATTACGGTATTTTTTTAATGTGATCTCAGAAGTCAGTCTTTGGAAAGCGGGGTGACCCTGAAAAATGGCAGCCCTTCTAGAATGCATCCTTGGGAAATAGCAATCATCACAGAGAGATGTAGCGAACTGACCGCCATACGATGTTTAATGATTCTCTCTGTTTTTCCTACTACCCCTAGTGTAGCTTTGACAGAGTCTGGGAAGGAGAGACGAGGAGGCATGCCTTCAGTGTGGTCTCAATATCCTGAAGTTGATCCCATCCTGCTACCATCAAACATTCACTCGGAATCAAAGGTGCCAATTCCAAATCAAGACCCCAATGATTTCTCCCAAGCATCCCAGGCCTACGGAGAGGCTGTGAGCTGGCAGCCACTGGATCTGAGAGGGGAGAGCCATGGGACACCCCCCAGCCAGAGGGCTCTGAGACGTAGCAGCAGCGTCCTCTCAGGATGTGTAGGTTTGGAGACCTTCCGAGAGAGAACCAAGGGTATGGTCAGCTTAAAGTGTCCAGGTGTCACAGAAGAACAGGAGGCCACTTCAGAAAGGCGAGCAGAACTCCCCCTGGGAAAGAAGCTCACCAAAAGTTTTTCCCAAAGCTCGATGCACTTTAGCCCTGACGGGAAGGCTCACAAAAGGTCCCCGGTGGCTCACAAAGACTCAAAGCTGTATAAGACATTACCTTTGAGGAAGCTGGAGGGGAGCAATTGGAGATGCCGGGGACCTTTCAGCTACTGCTTCCTAAACCGAGGGCAGGATGAAGATGAGGATGAGGATGAAGAGGAGGGAGCACCCACCCACCGGGTCTCTTGCCTCTTTCCACTACAGATGACTAAAGCCATGCCAGAACCAACCAGCCCACCCCGGGCTGTTGGGATTCAGAAGCAAGAAGGGGAGCTGTCCAGGTGTCCAGTGCTGAAGGTCTGGGCCGAAGACCTGAGTGGCCCGGACGACACGGACTTCAGCAACCTGGCTTTTGATGCCCGGATTGCAAGAATAAGTGCCCTAAAGCAGAGCACATATGCAATGCCCGATGGGTTCCTCGCAGCCCAAAATGATGCCAATGAGCTGCTCTGCCTTGTCAGGGCAACCAAGGGGAAGAGAGAGGAGTCACGCCCTGAAGCATATGACCTTACACTTTCTCAGTACAAGCAACTGTTGTCCATTGAGTCCAGACAGTTAGGAAGTGCCTGTAGGAAAATGGCGATGGCCGAGAAAAGCCCAGAGGAGATGCTCGTAGCTATGACTTCCAGCTTTCAAGTGCTCTGTTGCCTAACAGAAGCTTGCATGCGATTAGTGAAAGTCGTGAGCTCCGAAACACAGCGGCAGGAAATTGTAGTGAAGATCGATGAAGTGGTCATAAACTACATTTGTCTCCTGAAGGCTGCCGAGGCAGCCACAGGAAAGACCACTGGGGATCCCAGTGTCGGGCTGTCGATGCGACCTTCAACCACCATGGCCGCCCTCGTAAGCACACTAACACGTTCTCTCAAGATGCTTTTAAATAAATAAAAGTGTGAAAGTCACATCATAATCTACCTTTGCAAAGCCATACATGAACTTTTATTTCCTTTCTTTCTTGTACGATGAACAGACGTCTCCTTTCTTCTCTCTGTATATTTTGTTATTTTGTATAAAAAGGAGATAAAAGAGTCACATTGGTGAGATGTTGAAATGTACTAATCAGATGTATTCTGTTTATATGATACATATATACATGTAAAAGAGCTATACGAGAAAGTGATGACATTTGACTATTTTTCATATAGTCGAAACTCGGGGTATATGAAGTGAAATTTTAAATTCTACTGTGTTAGAGCAAAACAATGAATCCCATCCCCTTTCCTTCCAAGTGGATATTTGGAGAACATGTCGTTCATATTTAGAAGTAAAAAAAAAAAAAAAGAAAAGAAATCACAATGTATATAAAACAGTACTTATGTTTTAAAATTATGATTTTTAAGCATTTGAAATAGCAAAAAGACATTTAAAATTCAAGAAGCTATTATGAATGATTAGAGAAGATATATAATAAATTAATTTTTTGCTCATAGCATTTGGTTATCTGATGCTTTCTTCCAGGAATCCTACATTTTTCATTTTGGCTTATTCCATTTGGGTTCAAAAAGGGTGGAGGTGGATTCTATTGTGTCAACACAAATGCTCTGCCAGATGTTCCTAGAATTAAAATACTTCCCAATAGAAGAACAGAGAGAATGATGAGCAGGTTCCTGGGTAATACCTAGTTATAGATTATCTAATTACATAAAATGAAAGAATAATACTAAAATTAATTTTTTGATGAAAAGACAGATCTGCTTTGACTAAATGTCAAAATACGTAAACCAAAGACATCATCCACCTCCCCAACTCAACCATGAAATTTAGAATTCCCTTACGAGTGACAGAACATTTAGTAAAGTCTTTGCAAAATTACAAAAAAGAGGAACATTTGATGATTCTTTAAAGCAAGTGCAGATCCAGTCGTGGAAAGCAGACTGCACCAGCCTGTGTCCCACGGCAGATCGCAGCTCTCAGCACCACAGCGCTCCATGCCGCACCTCTACCGGGGCCAATACTTCCAACCCAACTTGGAATTACAGCCTAACACTGGGACAAAATTTCAAATCCGCAATGTTCAGCAAATCAGAGAGAGATGGCTACTCTACTATAGAAGCCATGATTAAACAAATCATTATTTATGAAATGATCTAATCTGGATTGACCTATAGATATATGAAAGCTGAAAAAAAATAACAAGTGGTCAATTTGACCACGTTAGGTAAAACTGATAGAATGCAAAAAAGGTTTTCAGAACTGTCGTCTCTCTCAAAATGTATCTTTGGGTCAAAGCAAAAGAATGCAAACTCTGCAATTGTAAAATAAAATTGACATGTACATATATAGTTCATGGGTCATTTAGTGCTCAAGCTACACACACTCCTATTTATGTACGTGGCTCCTTAAAATATGACAGGAGTATATGCCAAGTACAGATATTTCCATTTTTGTAGCCTACTGGACAGGAGGCATAACACAGTCTACAGTCGCTGTCTCTCATCAGTCGTTCTATAGAGACTCAGTAACAAAAGTCACACATAGTTGTAGATGGTAGCATACAAAAGGATTTTAGACATGTGTTATTCAAAATAATGTTTAAATAAAACATTATTTTATTACAATTCTAAATATTGATGTTTGATATTGAGAAATCTTAATGGTGTTTACTGTGGAAATTTTTGGTAAATATTCTGTGTACTAAAATACTAACATTAATAGGATGTGTGTTCGATGTCAGACAATGTGCTAAACATATCACATATATTATCTCATTTAATCATCACAGCAATCTTATGGTTTGGACACTGCCATTAATTCCCTATGGAGGCAGTATTGTTACGTAGTTAAGGGCATGGGGTTTGAGGTCAGAAACTTGATTTTCGTTTGAACTCTGCCATTTTCTCGCCCTCTCATCTTGGGAAAGCCATTCCATTTTTTTCTATGTCTCATAGGGTTGTCATGAGTTTTAAGTAAACTTATGTATGTCAAGTTCTTACCATAACACCTGGCAGATTAAATAATTAATGTTAGATTTTATTATCCTCATAATGATTGTGTTAAATACAGTGCCCAAGATAATATGTGGGGATATTTGCTTTATATGCATATTATATCCTGACTCCATGTGCGGAATACATTATGTGTATTGCATATGTATAAAAGAAATGCTAAGGAAGTGATGCTCTTTGTTCAAATCACATATTCAGTTGGAACAACTTTGTTCATTTCAGTTCTTTGAGAGGCCGCAGCGAAATCCCTCTGGGTCTTTCTAGTCCATTTCCCATTATCTGTGGGTGCTCCGATAAATTTCTGTTTCTTATCAGTAAACCTTTTACGACTTAGGAAACCTTAAGGGGCCCCCCGACTCACCACACATGGGATCCTAAGTGGGGTCCATGTCCAGTAGAGTATAGGAAGAATGATTTTGTGTTGATTTTTCTCTAGCCTTTTTTATGTTTGCATATATTTTATAATGGCATAATAGTACAGTGGTATATGTACATCATTTTAAATAAATAAATGAATTAACAAGCATATGCCTGGTGAATGTATGCAAAAAGAGGGTCACAAGTAGGGTTGCATTTATTAAAGTTTGGAGACCGCTGAAGTTAGAGAATAGAAATTCCTTGTACTTGAGCTTCTTTACATTTATTCCCCAGCCTCTTTTCAATTGTATCACCTCTCATTTTTATTAATTTTTTTATCATAATACATTCAAGCATACACAAAAGTAGGCACAGTGACAGAATGAAGCAATATGTACTCATCACATACCAATTCATGTCTGATTTATTTTCTCTATTTCTACACATGTCCTTCCACACTGTATATATTAGCAAATCTCTGACATTATAGCACCTAATCCATGACTGTTTCAGTAAGAACTTTCTGTAGATAAGAACTTTTCAACTTAATCTCAATGCCATTTTCACACTTTTAAGAATTATTAAATATTACCGAAATAAATGGTGAAGAAAGTGAAAATCCCTATAAACCCAACCCCAAAGACAGTCATTGTCAACAATTTAGGGCATCTTTTTTCAATTTTTTTTTCTGTATATAGACTCATGTTATTATTATTGTATATGGTTATGGACTTAACTTTGGACTTAGAAAGTTCTGACCACACTTGCCTTTCTGTTTGAGTCTTAGATGCAACGATCTTCATTTATGTTCCTGTCACATAATTTCTAAATGCCAGCTATTTTTTTTGGTGTTACTTCTGAGCTCCTCAGGATGGCACTCTAATTCATTCTTCCTGGGCTACTCTTGATTTGGCAATGGGAGAAGTTTGCTCTGTGATTCGTTTTCACCGTTCATAATTATGTTGACGGTTTTTGAAATCAGAGAAAAAGCAAAATCAGCCCTGATTAGGTGATTCCTATGGCTTCCGGACATTTAGAAATCTTCACAGGGCTAAAAAAAATACATGGATATCACATTGTTTCTCTCTAACCTGATTTTGTCTCTGCTCAGAAAGTGTTCAGTTTTTTGGGGGGGGGAGGGGGCGTATTTGGGTGTATAGAGGTTTGGGTGTGTAGAGAGATAGTTGTGTGTGTTTGGGTAGATAGTGGTATAGGGGAGGTGTTTGAGTAGATAGTTGTGTGTGTTTGGGTGAATAGTGGTGTAGGGGAGGTGTCTGAGTAGATAGTGTGTGTGTGTGTGTGTGTGTGTGTGTGTGTGTGTGTGTGTGTGTGTGACTAGTTTTTGGTTTGGTTTCATGGATTTCAGAGATAGTTACCCTCTGGCAGTCCCAAGGTGATGATAAAACTTTCTCTTTATAACATCCCAAATCTTTCTTTAAAGTCAGATGGCAGAAATCGCTTCTCATCTTTGAAGGATCAAAGAGGCAGAACCTTCCCTTTTAAACTGCTTTTTCATTCATAACAACCTGAACCAGAAAACTTGGGTACTCTTTAGTTATTTCACCTAGTCCTTGGCCAACCCCTCTCACTTTTTAATTTCAAAGTCTATATCTAGGGAATCCACGGAAGAACAATTCGTGTCTTTATCAAATATTTCTGCTGCACAGAATAATGGAACGACTCAAATCCTGCTCCGCTGAAAGAAGCAGATAAGCCAGCAGCTTATCCCAACTAGCTCACTTCACCATTCAGCCTGCCGCCTTCAGTTCAGCTGACTCTAATCTTCCCTCCACATTTTTAATTGCATCTCAATTTTCTGCTGCACATTAATGCTAAAGCGCTGAGGTGTGGCGTGTGTTTTTTCATTGTACCTGCTATTTCTCATTTTCCATTCCACACTTTGGACCAAAATGCTGTGCCATTTGCAGCAGCAGCATCCACACCTTGAGGCAGAAGGAGCTTTGGGATTCAGGAAGCTAAGCCTTCTTGGTAACCGCCGACCCAGTGATGTTTCTCCTGTTTTCATTTTGATTTGTACCCTTTGCACATCCTATCCTTTCGCTAAATGATCCATGACTCCTGTCCCCCACTGAGAATCTGGATATGTCCATTCGTTTATTCAAATAGCTATTAACAACTTCCTAATCTGGGCAGGCCTTGTGCTAGGTGCTGGGGGTGAGGTAGAATGGAGAGCATCATTGACATGGTCCCTGCCATAAATTCTAGAATGGGTAGTCCCTTGTCAGGTGTGAAGAAAGGAAGGGACGCAGAGTGAGTCAGCACGCCGGCAGTGTTTACTGCGCATGTGCAGGACTAAAGATGCCCGTGGCAGCCCAATCTGTGCAAAGTGATCTTAATAAGCAGTGAACACAAACTGCAATTGTGCCGTGACCTACACTGATTTTTTTTTTCAAAATATCACTCTCTTACTGTCAGTTATAAATGTTAAGGATGTGGGAAAATATAGTACAACATTTCTTTAGTATACGGTAATTTAAACATTAGAAACTTTAAGAATTAAAGTGGGTCTTCTTTGTAAAGCCTTAAAAAGAGTAGTCTGAACAGCGCTTGCCTTCTCTGAGTCATCATATAACTTATATGGAGTGAGCATCTTTTCTGTATTTTGGCAAATCCTCTCTAAATTTGGATCCGCTTCCAACATGTTATCATTCGTACTTTTAATGTTGGCAGATATCTCCCAAGAGTTCCTCTCATGTGAGTGTCTTTTTCCCAGGGCTACTTCCTCTGGGACAGCTTCATCCTTTTCATCACAGCCACCGTGGTGATGTCTGTCGATAACCACACCCTCTCTGCCCTCCTCTGGCCTGCACGGCTCCAATCTCCAATGCGGGGCCATGTCAGCAGTTCCACAGTCAGCTGTCTTCCTCCCCTTACATTTGCTGCTCATTTCGCTTCCCGTATTATCACTGTTTCTTTGCTGCACTTTCATCTGTGTTGGCCAGTTCCCTCTTTCAATCTTCCATTTTTAGGAGATGTTACGTGGCTGCCCTGAGGTCTTAAAGGCTGCAGTGATCCCTGCCATGGGGCCATCTTCGACGTGGCTGCTCATTTTATCAAGCCTGCAAGGAGAATCTCTGGCCTCAAGGAGGGCCTAGTCCTTCCCACTTTTGTGGGATTTCACCTGATCAAGCCAGGCCCATCCAGGATAATTGTGCTTTTGGTTGACTCAAAACTAACAGATCCAGGTCCTTATGTCCATCTTCCTTCCCAGTTGCCATATTCCATTGTTTAGAAGCATGTCACAGGTCCTGGCCACACTCAAGGGGAGAAGACTGGGCAGGGCATGACCACCAGGGGCAGGAACCGAGGGGACCACCCAAGGGTCTGTCTGCCATGCCTTCTAAGGCTCTTCCCTCAGGGTAGCCAGTTGAAATACAGATGTGAAAGGCATTCGCAACCGCAGCCCTGACATAAGCCATCAAAATCCACGTGGGCAGCCTCCGGCTTTCTCTGCCCTGGCCCAGTCTATGGATGGATGTTTGTGTTAATATGCCAAGTTGCTCTGGGCTGGGAACTCCAATACTTTTGATGTACTGCCTGTACAGGTGGGGATTTTCTTAGCATGACGTCCATAGGAAAGTGTTCTGAGGCAATATGACTGTATTCACTGCGCTCATCCCAGAGCCCAGTTATGACTTTGAGATCGGGTTAGACTGAATAATTCAACTGGCAGATGAATCACTAAAGACGCTGGACTTTAAGCAGCGGGACCATGTCTTTCTCAAGGATTTATGGGAAGAGGTATTAGTCCACTGATGTCGCTTGCTCCTAAGTTGTTCATGTTGAATTTGGTCTCCAATCTATTGCCCGTATGATATTGATGGCATTAATAATAATACTGCCTAATATTTATTCATGCAAATGTGCCAGGTACTGTGCTACATGACCTCCATGCGTCATTATCACATCTATTTCCTAGAACAACCTTTGAGAAATTCCCATTATCATCCCTTTTTTAAGAAAGAAACTGCGTTTAGAGACACCACATAGCTTGCCCCAATCACGGCTGTTAGTCAGAATCAAGATTTGCACTCAGTAATGGCAGTGTCGTTCAAGTTTTTGGCCAAGTAAATAGCGTCATTGTTTTTCATCTAACAAATACCAGCATGTTTTTTTGTTTTTTTGTTTTTTTTAATTTAAGTTCCACCAAAGAACTTAGGACAAAAAACAACCATCTCCTGTCCTGTAACTCCCCACCCGCCTTGCCAGTTCCCAGGCACAGCCCATTTCATCAGTTTCTGCTTTTAGTTTTTCTCATGGTTTTCTCCTTCATTCTAACGAAGTTTTTGACTTACCAACTCGATGATGTCTGACGACTACCTCTTGAAGAAGAAGGAATTCACTCGCTTACGTTACCCCTCGCCTTTTATTCTACTTCCCTAACCAATGTTTGATAGATAGGGAGATTATTATTAGGTTCTATTCTTGGTTGCCTAGTGAACTTGAAAAATTATAATTGCAACTCTGCTTCTTGTTCAGTCATCTTTAGACGGTCTCTCTGGAGTCCTCATCTACGTGGAATGAAGCTCTGTGTTCCCTAGCCTGACTCACTTCTTCACTTCCTCCCCTACCTTAGGCCACCAGTACCTTCGCATTTACATTGTTGTTAAAAGCAATGCTTCCTACAGTGTTTAAGGATCAAAATTGTGTAACCGCTGCAGCCTGGGAACAGTGTAGTCAACTGCTTTCTCAAGAAACTAAGTCATTCAGCGGCCGGAACAAAGAGTCCTCCACGTGCAAGGAAAGAGGAAAGAGAGTTTCCGGTGACCTCATGGTATCTTAAGCTGAGGGTTCTCAAAGGGTGGCCCCCGAACCAGCAGCAACTGCATCACCGGGGAACTTGGACACAGACTCCTGTGCTCGCTCCCGGACCTGCTCAGACCCTCTGAGGGTGGAGCCCAGCAAGCTGGGATCTCACAGGCCTTCCAGCTCATTCTAATGCATGCTCAAGTCTCAGGATCACTGTGTTAAATGATTAACAAGATTTCTCAAAACGATGCCATGTTTAGATCCCTTTGTATTTACTTTTGAGGTTTAAATCCCGCCCCCCCCCTGCAGTTTCTATTGATACATTAAAAACCACCCCAAAATACAGAAGCGTAAAGAACCATTTATTATTGCCTCTCCTGGTCCTGGGAATGGGCTCAGCTGGGCGGTTTTCACGCACAGTCTCTCCTGCAGGTGCGGGCAGGTGGTGATGAGGCCAGAGGAGGCTTGGCAAGGCTCGGGAGGGGGGGGGGGGTGTTGGGGGTGCTCCTCGTGTGACCAGCAAAGGGCTGGGAGCTTACCTGAGCAGTCGTACCTGTGACCTGTCCATGAGGCAGGCGCCATGGCATGGCGCCCTCAGGATAGCAGCGCCTCCTACAGCGGGCTGGCCTCCAAAATGGAGCTTCTCAAGTATCCCCAGAGAAGCAGGCAGAGCTGCAATTCCTATGCCCCAAAGGCTTTTGACTTCCTTTTCTAGTATCAGCCTGTTTTTATCGTAATAAACACCATCCCGGGACTTCCCTTCCCAGCATCCTTCGCATGGACCCCACGGTTTCCTGTACCCTATATCACCCAGAGAAGTGTTCCCCATAAAGATGACGTGGGAAGTAGCCTTTTGAATCTAGCCTGTCGGCAACGCCTTTACTCCGTCCTTCTGCCTCGTCCATCATTTGGCTGCCTAGGGGATTCCGGGTTCAAAGTCGCGTTCCTTGAGAACCTGGGTGTCATTGCCCATCATCTCTTTGCATCATTTTGCTAAATGCTATTCTTGTTCCTTTAAAGGTCCTCCCCCCAACCCCCCACTTCACCTAGAAGATCTGTTGCTTCCGTTCCCTCCAAGTGTGAATTTCATGAGGGTGCGTCTAGGTCTGGAATTTTCTTTCATTCATTCTGCCTGGAATTTAGTGCATCTTCTGAGAGCTCGTGCCTTTCAATTCTAGATTGCTTTTCTAGCCCGACCGGCGTGGCTCAGTGGTTGAGCGTCAACCTGTGAATCAGGAGGTCATGGTTCGATTCCCGGGCAGGGCACATGCCCGGATTGTGGGCTCAAACCCCAGTGTGGGGCGTGCAGGAGGCAGCCGATCCA